TAAATGGTATGAAATTGATAGAGATAGTTGCAGAAACGTAATACTCACACAGAAGACAATAAACAACATCCGTTCGCGTAGGCTAAGATTTTTCCTGTGCCAGGGTACTATGTCTTCTGCTTGTATCCAAGCTTCAAATTGGTTTAGTGTAAAAACTCTCGTAATTGAATCAAAGCTGTCACCTGAATCAACCCGCCTTGGAGATGAAAAAATCTGTTCAGCATAGAAACAGAAGCTTCACATGGTCTCGAAGACATTCGGGCGGAGTTTCGATCCCAAAAGCAATCATCTAAGTAAGTTTTGTTTAAGTCAGTCATAATATATCACTTTACTACTTCTGTTCAAATATGAACTTGTGAAGAAACCCGTGACGAAGTGAATCCTCGATATGTGTGATTCGCATCATTCCTAAATGTATTTTTTGGCTCTTGTCTGTTAGAATATAAGGCTTAGGCTAGATGTTCATAAGGCTTAGGCTAGATATTCATAAGGCTTAGGCTAGATGTTCATAAGGCTTAGGATAGTAAGGCTGGGTTGTAGGAGTTATTTCTCATAAAATAAGGCTCAGGCTTGTTCATGATATACTTAAACTTGTTCATAAGGCTTAGGCTAATAAGGCTAAGGTTATACTTCTTTGAGATGGCTTAGGCTAGAACATAAGGCTTATTTGTTCGAAAAAATCCTCTTTTCTTCAACTCTCTAAAAACCAAAAGCGTGCGCGAAACGGCAAAAAGGGGCGTGTCTAGTACGGGGGGGGGGGAATCAACAGACAAAACCTATTTTTTTTAATCATATCTTTGTCATGATACGGTTAGTCGGATAGAGTGTTCTTTATCGATTGATTTGAAACCGCAGCGTTGAACCCTGAACACAATACTACACAAGCTAATTTTTGAAGTGTCTTTTAATCAGCTCAACTCAATCCTTTTACAAAACATGAGTGCCTTAAATGAAGCAGATTCAACGGTAATTTTGGATGTAATCGAAATGAAAAATGATCCTAATTGGAAATTACAAAGTAAGAAAACACTCCTTTCCATTCGATTTCCCTTTTTGAGGATTGAAAGACGAGTTATCCCAAATGTGTTGGCAATATACCAAATCAGAAGCACTTATTCGAAACTATAATGGAGAAGTCATAAAAAAAGTTTTTAAATAATGACAAAAATTTGTTTCAGAAATATGGAACAAATATTGTATGGGCCCACATTGTTCAATTTGTGACTCCCATTGACATGAGAGTTCGGGTAGCGTTCTTACTTGACTTCCTCTCCTGAATGTGTTTTGAAGCCTATTTTCGCAACTCGTATATATCACAAGTTGCTAATCAAACTGGAGGATTTCGCACGTAACAACACCTTACAATTTTTTGAAAGGGATCAGGTGAGTGAGAATATTCAAGAGATGCTTTTGAATTTATCGCACTTGATAGCTGATTGAATCAGTACCATGCTTAGCATATGCTAATCATCGATTCTTCAGAGGGAAAATAGTGAGGGTATCCAATAAAGAGAGGCAAGTTTTTGGAGAAATTGTCAATCATTCTGAATTTAAAGTGTTGAAGTTGAGAATGTTGATAACGGGGGAAGATTTCTGTTAGCGAAAGAGAAGCTCAGGCCACTGCCAATGAAATTTGGTCGGATTCCACCTCTATCATTGAAATGCTTTTTAAACGGTACGAAGTTGTTCTTGAAGTTCAAGAAGTTTCATTCAAAAGATGCTGGAGCTTGTGTACTTGATCCTAAAAAAGTGATGCTCTTCCGAAAACAAATCTCTGATGGTAACGACTTAGTACGGATTGAATTTTGTTCCAATGAAGAGCCTTTCAGAGTAAAATTCCGTAGAGTTAGACTACTACTATCATTATGTTTACAGGTCAATGTTCTTCATCCAACAATTTTGAATAATAACTTAGCTGAAATATTCTCTCAGAGAGCTTTCAAAGTAGGCGAAGAAATGTGCACTTCGGAGACAAGAAGGGAACCAGAGGAGGACAAATATGGGACAACTCTGAAATTTAAAAAATTTCTCCGACTGCCCAGAAGGTCTTTAGAATATTACGTCAGCCACATAGAAAACGCTCAAGAAATATTCTTGAAAACTGAAACTATGAAAAGATCAACAATGAAAATCGAAAATTTCATAAACCTACACGTTGGTATATCGCTGAGTTCTAAACCTCTACCTCTCAATTACAGTGGGACGCCTTCGATGAATACGATACAATAAAAAGAGAGAGAGCTGTCTTGATCAGAACTTGTAGCGAAACATACCATCGTGCAAGTATGAATCCTCAATCATCTTTTTTGTTAATAGACCATGGAAAAACTTTGCCTCCTGGCGTTGTAATGCAAATACGGAACATACCAAGTAACTGGTTACTCAGTGCCGCTCCAGGGGTATTAATCTATTCTTAACGCTTTTCTTGAACTCTCCCAGGTCTATAAAGCTCTTTTAACCGGAAGGTCAAAATACCCGCCACATTATTCTGAAACTAAAATTCTCCGAGAGCTGTTACCTACAGGTGTAAAAGTTTATTTCAACTGTAGCACGAGAGATGTAACTCAAAAAAAAAAGATAACTGAATACTTATCTGTTACAGTCTGCTTCTGAGGGGAATTTAGAGAGTGAAAATTACAAAGATTTGATTTCGACTCTGGACGAAAGGTAAATAATGAAAACCTATGGAGAATCTGATTCTCTTTCTCCTTAGGTTGCTTGAAGCTCGAATCAACCCGTCTTGTTTGGAAGTCCTTCCATACAACAATCGAACAAACAGATGAGAAATGAGTTCATTTGATGTTTAAGATTGAACCGTGAGTTTCAAACAATTAAATTTTCTATTGTGTTTCTCAGAACTGTTATGTGTACTGCCTCCCCGGCTGATCTTCTTTCTTCATGAGCCATGACGCCTGCATCTAACTCCCGCAGGAAATCCTCTTTGACCAAGTCAAGTATTTTCTTAAATTGCGTTGGATACGTTTTCAATAAAACTTCATAACATGTCTGAAACGAGCTTACTGATCACAATCAAAAACAGTCTTCACCTCTAGAATGCTGTTGACAATTATCACTGTAGCTAGAACAATATGCGACGTATTTAGGACAAAGGCCAAAATGCTCCAAAGGTTTTTTAAAGAAAGTAAAGTACTTCCTAAAAACTGACAACGATGAATATTAATGTTTCAAGTATACCTTCAATGAAGAGGGAGAAGAAAAGTTTCACTGTACTTTTCTCTTCGTTTATTACTGAGGATTTCGCGTCAGCGGGCAGACTCTTCAACTTTGAGACAAACGAAGCACTGAATGAGCATTTCAATTAACAGCATTTCTTTTTCTTTACCATTTCTCTGTGTCTAGGGTTAACAGATGAGATGAACTGAAGAAACGACCTATCAAAACTTTTTCAAAAAGCTCTGATACAGAACTAAGTCGTACCAAAACTGTTGAAATAGACGTTATCAGGTTTTTATCAATTATTATCACGTTCTAAAAGAATGAATTTGAATAAAGTTGAATTTGACCTCACCAAAGAATAATCTATGATCACTTTGATCGCGTAAGCAATAGCGTCCGAATCATCTAATTTCAGATTATCCAGAGTTCTAAACGGGAATTTGTATTCAGATAAATGGAGATATATTAGTACGCGTCAGTTTGATTTCCATTCAGCAGATTAGTAAAACAATCAACGATTTTCCGTAAATCAGAGGGATCAACAGTTCTCTTAGCGTACACGGAAATGAGATCATTTATTCTTCGCTTTATTTTGACTCTGAGAGTTGGCTGGAAGAAATATCACGTTGTACTATTGAAACTTCAAAACTGACATTTCCTCTTTCGAATCTAGATGATGCTAAGTCATTGTCCTCTTTTTTCTCCAAACAATCGGCGTACATAATAAGAGGACAATATAAACTGCCAACGTCTTGTTCATCTCTTTGAGGTGATTCTACCTTTTTCTCCACTTCATTCATAACAAAGACTGAGTCTTCACAGTTTTCCAACCTACTTATATCAGTTGAAACTGAAAAGAGAAAGACTTGTAGGAACCGTGATCGTTAATTACCTTTCTCAACAAATACACTTTCCTCTACGAGAGGTGAATTAGCTAATTGATTTCCACCAAACTTGAAGGATTTTCTGAAGAAACAAATCGTATGTTAAAGAAAAATATTTTCTAACTTCATCTGTGGAGTTGAAGTGAATATATTTCCAGCGAAAGACGGCCGTGCTCCATTGTAAGAATCCAAATGAAAATCTTTGATTGGCACGGAAATAGGTAATGGCGATGACACTGATTGAGCGAAAAGACTAAGAAAAATTACATTATAAAGTAAACCAGTGAGTTCAAAACCTGTTATTCACAAATGACACATTTTCGTTATTTGTATGATCGAATAAGTGACTCGGAACTGAGTTGTTCAGCTCAGACGCATCCAATGCGCTTTTCCCAATTGTGACGCTCTGAGACCTACAGATACAATAACAAGAAAACTTCTAAATTGGGAACATACTTGTTTGAAGAATCTTCTACTTCAATGGCTTCATGGATGGATATATTCGCAGTTGAACTAGGATGTTTACATTCTTCAAGCCATGCTTGAGAGAGGGATAGTACATACTGTTCAGAGCATTCAACTGATCTCTCCGAGTCCAGTTTTTTCTGAAAAGTGGAGTCATTTTCAATGTGGAAGCATAACATGAAATACATCCGATTTTTGAAACTTTTCATCATATTCTCTCTTTTTATCTTCGTACGCTTGAATGGCTTTTTTCCGTGATATTCGTAATTTATTCGATATCTCTGCTTCTAAACCTAGGGCTGTGTCATGTTCCTTTATGAATCTGAGATGGAGAATGATACAAAGCCTTCCAAAGTTAATCTTTCTCACTTTTTTTTCTCAAGATGCCTCATTGAGTCAGGTATATATCTCCGAAAATGGCAATCATCAGATGATATGTAGACGCTATTCGCCAGGTCCTCTTCAAACAAACCGAACCTAAATGGGTTTGATACCATCAAAAATTTACAAAGATATCTTACGTAGGCATTTTTTGAAATTAGAATGCTGTGAACTAAGAAACTATACAGGAGGCAAATATGAAAGCTTGATACTTTCAGATATTCATTAGATGCCTAACTATTTTCTTCTCAAGAACAATTTCCCGCTAGGTACAACGAAGAGGTGGGGAATGGAAGAAACAATATCTGAAAGAGTATCAAGCTTCTCGCGTTTATGTATTGATCAGCCGATTCAGCCTGAAGGAAATGTTACAAAATGCGATGAACCTTCTTCAACCACAGTTCAAATCATTGAGTCTTTTAAGAGGCTGTACAACGCACATTTGCGTACTCTCATATGAAATAAACAGAGTCTACTCTCCAAGATAGTATTCTTAACATTGCCTCGTCTTACGATTATGTACGTTTAAGTTAATGAACGTTTGATTTCAGGCAATGGGTCGTGGAACCAAAAGAACAGCTGCCCGTAGAAGCACAACGAATTCTTCCAAGAAAAGTATCTAGCTTACTCAAATTTGTTGTAAAATTCTATTTCTAGAGAACTTTTATCGAGAAGAAAATAGCGATGGTGAAGACGAAGAGGAGCAGAGTAAAGACGATAGAAACCAAAAGGATGACGAGGTTTACAGGAAACTAAATTTGTGATACCAGGATTATTAGGATTTTGTGCTGGATCCGAAAGACTCGAAATCTCCTGAATCTCCATGTATTGATGACGATGGAGAGGAAGGCGATGCCGAAGATGCAGATGAATTAGACGAAGAAATAACTAATAAAACTAAAGTAAGTTAAACACTCATTCTATTCCGAACTTTTTCATCGGCAGTCTAAAGGATCTAAGAAAGCATTAACCAAAAGATTAGAATCGAAAGATAATGCTGAACCGTCAACATCTTCTAATAACTTCAACCCGGATAGAGGTAAGTGAATATTACAAAGGTTCTCGTAACTCTTTCTTTGTCAGCAACTCCTTATATGGCTTATGATCCATTACTCTGGAATCCACAGTTTCTATATAGATTGCCAAGTGATATTACATTAGGTGCTATTCGTGAATCGGGGGGAGAGGGTCTTGGTAGAATAGAAGTTAGCACTCTTCCGTTTTTTTTTATTAAAACATAGATAGATTGGACATCGTCTTTCTATGGATTCTACGACAAAAGCCGGAAACAGACGTGTTTCTGCTTTTATTGTTAATGTTTGCAATGATAGAAAAGATTACGTTGGTCAATTTCAAAAAATGGAAGGCAAGATCAGATGCATCAAGTGAGTCAGCTTGATTGCCTTCCATGACGGCAATATTTGAGATATTTCTGGAAAGCCAACAGTCAGCCTGAGAGGTTTATTAAATTGTTCGAAGATTTTCAAAAAATCACAGGAGTACCGTGTCCGTTCAAAATGGGACAAGTTATTAAGTTCGCGAACTCTAAGCTCAGTATGTATCAATGTATCTGAATATTACCATTAAGTTATATACAGGCACGTTAAGAATATCCGATGTTACTCTTCGACGTCTCAATGATTTGATGGAGACCCTAAACCATACCAAAGTGATCGTAACAATGCAGCGAACATTGCGTATAATAGAAGAGAAGGAGAAAGCAATTGGATATCATTTTGCTGTACTCTCGAGTTCTAATTCTTCCAGTTCATATGTTTTTTTTAAGATTGATAAGAAATCTCTGATGAAATGCATAAAAGCTTTAGAAGATGTTTCATTGGTCCGTCTTCTGGAAACCACTGTTTCTACTCCAGACAATGTTCCTGCTCGTGTGAGCGTCTTGTTCATTCTTGATTCTTATAATAAGACGATGTTTAGATTCAATTGCTCTGTCATAAAGATATCACTTCCGTAGATGATTCCATCGTTCGGTACTATATAGAGAAAACTATCGAAGAGTATGTACAGCAAGGCCGAGTCTTCCCACATGGCCAATTGAGGTTTTCTTTGTTTGCTTTTTGATTTCAACTTTGTGTCTTCAGATATTCTGCTAAAAAGAGGGCGGAATTCAATGAGCTTGGAAACGAGAAATCTTCCGACTGTGGCCCAATCATTATTGAAAACGGCATCACCTTTCAAGAGAGGTATAGGCTTTTCCGCAATCAGGTAAGATCGAAATTTATCCTCATGACGTCATTTTTTTAAATTCTAGACTTCACGAGCCATCGTAGGTGTGCAAGAGGAGAAGAATTGTGAAGTCGTTGATAACGTTGATGACCTCAACAACACTTTGGATAGTCAAGAAGATATGACAATGGATGAAGGAAGAGATGTTAGCTAATAACTTGAATATGTATGTAAATATCTGATTGCAGGGGTTCACTTTAGATACTCATGCTGATATTTGGACATCAGTAGAGTTAGGAGGTTAGCATAACTTTTTATTTTCTTCAAGTTAATTCATTTTCTGTAGGTGACAAAAAACTGAAAATAAACAGTGAGATGGCACAAAGGTTTGGCTATCAGATGAAAGTCATGCGTTGGTTCATCATGCACGAGTTAGCTTACAATATGGTTTATTCTAAGAAGACTCAGGATCATCCAAGCGTTTATGAGAGGTAGGGACGAAGAAAGAAACGTCGTTTTACCGATTTTTTCGAGGTTCCCCCCATTAGATGATCCTTCTCATTGGCCTGAACGAAATGTAGAAGACATTCCGACATATTGTGAGAAAGATTCTCCCTTTGTCTTCGTTCCACCTGTTCCACCTTTTCGAGATTTGGGGCCGTATGTTCTCAGTATTGTTTCCTTTTTAAAGCTTTTAGCTTTTAGCGGATACTTCATGTTGATTGACCTTGTGAGAGCTCTTCCGTTGTCAATGTACGTTTTATGTGCATATGTTGGAAAAACTGTGCCTGTAGGTGTCTCAAGAATTTCTCAGTCATGTTTTTTCTCCAGCGACCGCTTCTGAATGAGTACTTATCGGATCCAGGAAAACGTCATGTGTGCGTTGGTGATTTACCGTTACCTCTTCGTATGCCTATTTTGCGTGTGAGTTCAAACTTCTGCATATTCCGTCAGTCAAACTGCACATTTTTCATATTTGTGATGCTTGCACTCTCTATAGTTCACCGAATTCAATCCTTTTTGCAGGATAAACGTTTATACAGGCAGTTAGAGCATATCTTCTTATCACTCGGGGTACTCGGTCTCGTAGCATTAGTTAAAAATCCAGATCCAAAACGATTTCTTTCCCATGCGGCTTCGGTTTTCTATGTTTCTAAAAAGTGAGAATTCTTTATTTTAGAAAAAGGATTGTCTTTTTCAGAGGTGTTCTTCATGACACTAGTAGCAGTGAGAAAGGGTATGCCACAGTCACGCTGCCCATTTCTCGTTATGATAAGTATGACTATGAGTTCGAATCAGAAGTGAGTATCAAAACATTAGCATGATTTTCGCCGTCTGTTTGCAGAATGACGTTTCTATGTTCTGGCATCACTTGAGAGCAATCGTTCACTCAACACCTTTGTCTTTCCGGAGTGACTGCGAGCCGTCAGATTCTACTAAGCATAAGAAATACAGTCTTGGTGTTTTTGATAAAGTAAGTTGTAAAGACAGCTTTAAAAATTTTGGTAAATTTTCCAGGCCTCAGTTACCATTGACCCAGAGCAAGAAATTGTTTTGTATCCACTAGAGCCAAACGACGGTTGTGCTGGTTTTGATTCATCATTATTTCTGTAAGATTCGATCACAGATTGGCAACTAACTATGATTGTAGACATTTGCGGAGACATTGGGAACTGAACCCACGTCCTAGCGTTGTTACTCATTGGTTTATCGAAAGATTCCGACGTCAGTCTGACGCTGTCAAGAGATTAATTGAATCGAGAGTATCTAGTATTCAACAAGATTGGAACAGTTATGTCAAGATTTTGATGCCTTCAGATGTAGATCTCAACAAATCAAAACGAATTAGGGTAATATACTAAGATAATAGTTTGCAAACATAGAGTTGTAGGCGGCGACTTATTCTTCCACCAGATCATCCATCGGGCTTGAATCGAAAAGTAAATTGCGAGTAATGAGAAAGGGAATAATCAAAAAGAAGAAAAGACCACTTGATACAGTGGACATGGTTAGCGAACAAGCTCGGCTTCATGTTCGAAGTAGATTCAATTCTAAAGAAAGAGATATGGTATAGTATGAATCTCATTCGATTTGATGTTTCATTTTATAGCTCATACTGATTAGAGCTATAGGATTCTTTCTTAATCCAGTATATCGCTTTTGGTTGGACCCAGCAGTACTTCGTGACATCATGCATGAGTACGTTCCTGAGTCTCGAAGCAAGACCGTTCAGGTTCATATTTTCAAGTGCTCTGAAATCATACTTTCTTTTAGAGCTTAATGGCAGCAGGAGTGAGAGAGATGGTCAGACCGAATAGGCTAGCCTATCTCCAGAGAATCGTCCGAAACCTTGCCACTTTTCCTGAAATGAGAAAATTGAGAGTACAACTAGCTAATTCTCCTCTGAGCACATCAGAAGCTAAGACAGTATTTTTCAAGGAGGCTTTCCAAACAGCTAATCAACTCTTATTCATGTAGGCTTGTTCTTGACTCTCCTCCTTATGAGTGATACATGCTTGCAGGGAAAATCAGACTATTCCTAGCGCGAATTCTCCAAACTCTACGTTTGAAGACTATCTACTGGCTGGAAAAGTGGTCATTGCCTCGGAACAAAGCAGCTCTCACTCTCTCCCTCTTCGATCTCGTAAACCAACCAATTTAGAACACATTCATCATTGTGTTGCTATTAATATTCTTTTGGTATATCTCCCATAAGTCAAAACCTTCATAGGCTTTTTCAGTCGATACTTATCCACACTACGGATGGCTCCTTTTCCGACTGCATCTTGGAACAGATCTCTCCAACGGTTATATACGGGGCTCTTCAAGTTGGCTTTGCAGTTGAACGTACAGTTTCGAGTATATCTTTTAGGTTCTTAGGTCAGATGGCTTAGTTTCTAAAACACGAAAATTAGATCCCAAATTGTTGGTTGTTACAAAGGATCAATCAGTTCCTTCATATTAGTAGGCTCTTTTCGTGTTCTTGTTCTATCATTCGTTAACAGTTTCCGTCACTTCTTTGCTCATCGCTTTCATTCCGATATAGTTGAGAAAACAGCAAGAGTTTATCACGAATCTCTTGAAGCCTACAACTCCTCTGCTGGTCCTATGAAGTTAGATGGTGATGAAATTGGTTTGGTAATTGCTGCTGCTGGATCATATGTTGGAAATGTATAGTTTAACGTTCATATAACTTGATTGAGCTTACTTTAAGTCTGATCTTGATATCAAAGTAGATGATTCAATGCTCTCCGTGTTTGAAGAAATCGAAGCCCAACGGCAGTCTACTAAACAGATTCGATATCTCGAAAATGCTGATTTACGCCTAGAGGAAATAGAAGTAGGATTTTATCTGTTGGATACGGATATTTGTCGTTGTTATTGTTCAGATATTGCTCACTCACAAAGAAAAGACAAAACATCTTGCGCGCCTCGATGATTTATTTGCCGCTCTTATACAGAACAAGTGAGTTCCTAAAAGTTATAAAGTTTAGAAGTTTTCTTTAGAACCCAACCTATTGATGTCAAACAGTCTCCCTTAGCTGAGAGGCTAAAAGATATTTCCAACAAAACTGAGAAGAATGAACTTATTTCTATTTATGACGCCATATCTTCGTCCAAGGAGATAGGAGTTGGCCTCAAGGATTTGGAGGTGTAGACAGTTCATCTCTGTGTGCATTTTATTATTTTTGAAGGTTGGAACCAAAATATCGAGTCTTTCCATATTGAAGCGAATAAACGTGCTGCTTTCTCTCAATTTGGTAACTAAACTTTTTCTCTTCTTTTATACTTTTTTTACTTCAGATAATTGAAATTGGTGTTGACTGTCGCAGATGGGTAGCTCTCGAAAACGCTGATGCTTGGACGGTGAAAGTGAACCAAGTTCGCGTTTGTCCGAGACCTTGGACGCTTCCAAACGGCACAGTATGTGAATCAACTGTTCGATGGATGTCTGAGAGTGTTCTCATGCTCATAATTGCAAATCCTGGAATCCCAATGAGGGACATAAGATTCCGATACGAGTTCGCCGTACAACCTGCGGTTGTGGAAGATATTGTATTCGTAGCGTTCTTAAATGGTCTAAAATATCTGTTTCAGCTCAGTCTTTTAGAAAACGCAGAATGCATAAAGATAAAAGAAGAGAAATTTGAGAGTATGACTCTGTTTTCTCCGTTTGCAAGTAATTTCTTGTTTTCATACTGTGTTTAAGAAAACTGTTTTCAGAAGTACCTAGCGAAGAAGTTTTTGTATACGTTGTGCCAGCACCGGATTGTTTCGAGAGATTCTCACGCATTTTCTCCGGTATTTAGAATTTTTGAATTGTGTTAGCTAGTGTTTAGACGTTTCATTCTTGCCATCAATGTTAGGAGGATCCAGGCCAGAAGAGGAAGTTACAGTGGTCAGTCGAACTATTGAGGAAACAGCTCCAAAACTCGTACATGTGGATGTTAAACAAGAACCTAAACCACTCCAGGAATAATTATTTTATTTATTATGCTGTACATTTATCCATTAAATGAGAAAATCTTTGGAAACCTATCTCTACGTGTTCGCTGCTTTGTTTTCCATGGTGTAATCCATATCACTTATCTGTAACGTAGAGTCCGTACATGTTGTCAAATAGACTTTTGTTCTTAGCATGGTATGGCAGCTTCTGTAGATGAACCAGAAACAGCACCGAGGTGGTGGAATGTTTCTTATTGGGCTGGTAGTTCTGAATCGAGAGACGCTAGTGTTTCTCATCTAGCCCAGCCTGGTCCATCAACAATTCCACTAGCTAGTACACATGAAGAGCCGCTACCAGTTGTTAATCCTATCCTTTTAAAGTTACTTATCTTTCATATTTATAGATTATCGCAGAGTCTCTGTCATCCGGTTTGGATAGAATTCTCAATTTATATCGAGAAAAGACGATGGAAGTTGATGTTTCTTTCAGAGTTTGATTCTGCATCATATGCGGACATCGTATCCACTGTTTTCAGGTCATGAGAATGACCTTCCTCGGTGGTTTCTTAATGGGAGGATCATCTGGTTATCTGCAAGCTAGACAAACTTATGAAATAAATAACGTTGGAAGAAAATACCTGAGTCCTTCGGACGCATTAGTATGACAAAGTATTCATTTTCCTCCTTACTTTGGTTTTCAGAAAAGACGTATGGACTACGCTATTCTCCGTTTCGCCCGAGCCGGCTTTGGTATGGGAATAAAATGTGCTCTTCTCTCTGGGTCCATTGTGTAAGCTTTGCAGACACTATTGTATTCTGATCACTTGGTTAAGAATTTTGACTACGCACGTGGCAGCTTATAGAGAACGATTTTCTTCCTGGTACTTCCCCGCTTTATCAGGTGCGCTTGCAATAGGCCTACATTCAGGTAGAAATAAGAACTATTTTTATCGATGTTTCACTTATAGCGTTAGTTGGTGGTGTTTTTGCTTTTCCTCTAGGTCCTACAGGGATCGCTAAAGCTTGTGGACTAGGAATAACTTCTGGGTTTGTCAAAAGAAAGTAATGTATTTTCAATTATGGTATTATATACAGGCTAACGCTTTCGGCAGTTGCCCACTTGTATGCACTCTCTGTAGATAAGCCTATGAACGATGCTTACTGGTTGTTTAAGAAAGATTATGAGAAGGTTACCCGAAGTGCAGACGATTTTGATAATCTTTGCTTATTTTAAAGGATATCTCTGAAGAAGCGGAGTTTGAAAAACGAGTTTCTGAGTTGATGAAGAACGAAGGTATTCGTTGGAGGCCTACTGCTGTTAAGCAATTGAAAAGAGCAGATGAAGAGAAATTAGTTGGAAATGATGCTTGAAAGCAATTTTGGGTAATTTTAGTTTGTTATAGAGTTGAATGTTTGTTTTTGTAACTTCTTATTATGTTATATTACCAATAAAGATTGAGAGATTAGCCTATTCAAACTCCGGATGTTGATGATGTGAAAGATGGTCCTATTACTTGAGTTGTCCCTTCAGTGTAGCAGCAAAGTGTCTTGTGAGCAGCTTTTGGAGTAACTTAATAGATATGGTCATTGTGATTGTTTCTGATTCCAAACTTTTCAAGAGCATGCCTCGAACTGCATGTCGGTATGGTGTGCAACCCATGAGAAGTATAAGAGTTCCACCAATTTTTGCTAGACCCATGAATATGAAAGATGTTTTGACAACCACTGGAGTGAAGGTTATGCTGATTTGATATATTATGAGCAGATTAACCTTCGTTCGACGTTTGCATCAATAAGCTAACTAGTAGAGTTAATGCTGGAACGCAAATACCTGCACCTTCAACCAAAGTCTGTAATAATTAACTGATGTTATGAATTATTGATGGTTCAACCAATGCTATGTTTGAAATGGCTAGTTGTCTTTGTGCACCGATCATTCTCGCAGACGCTGTCGTTGAGGTATGTTCTCTTAAAACTTTCAGAACTGCCGTTCCTGCTACAAATGATGATAGAAAATAGACAACCACGTTCTCCATATAGTTGATTAGAGCAACTTTCAACCATTTATCATTGGGTGAGTAAAACATTGCTCTTGGATCATTAAGTTCTTCCGGTGGTGAATAGTTATGGGAAAGGAACATCTAACGAATATATATCCATTAAGGTATACCAACTATCGATTACTTCATAACAAATTTGGCGGCCAGGAGGGAAATCGGATTCAATAAATGAGATAATGAAGGCTGGAACTATAACGTTGGTTGCAACAACATGCACATATAAGGCGTTTTTATAAAATCGTTTGAGTCTCTCGCTAGTGTGCACTAAAATAGCGAGACTCTTTTGTACACAGAGACACGCAATACTCGCGCCCATTACTGTAAAACAATTAACAATTGCAAACACAACAACATCATCCTTACATGCTATGAGGTTTACTTGAGTATGGGTTTGCACTGCTGTCGTCATCCCAATATAGGTCAAAATTCCATTAGGGTAGCCTCCTGCACAAGGCAATAGTAAGATCGGCACTGTTCCGCCGCATAAATACATTTGTGAGATACAGGCTCTAAATACAGATAATGATGAGAGTTGTTATGAAATCGATAAAGAAAGTTTTACATGACACTGTGCGAGAGCAGAACACCTTTGTATTCAGGGGACATTCCTTGAATAGGCCTAGTGAGTATGCAGTATACGGCTAAACATAAGGTGAGCATGCCAAATGGAGCTAACGTCCACATTATGATACAATACAGATCCATTGCATTTATATTACACGTTTGATTATAATGATCTCAGATAACAATAATACATTTTGTCGTCGAGATACTGAGCTCTTGACAGCTGCGAGGGCTGTGAAGAAAATGGTAAACGAATCTTGTGATTTCTGAGTTCTTCTCACATAAAATATTCATGTTATAGTTAGTTATGCTACTAACTGCTGCGACATTTTATCTTTTCAAAACCTTTCATTTTTCATGATTATTGAAAAGATTCTAATGAGTATACGACTTTCTACGTTTCAAATGGTTCTGTCGACACATACTTTCGTCATAGATGACGATGACGGAAATAGATGGTATTGAGGAGATTCATTAAAGTACTAAGTAGGTATGAGGAGGCTGAGGCGTCTTAATGAATTGAAAGGAATGTTTGAGAGATATGAAAAGAACATCATTCGAAATCCAGTTCCGTTCACTCTCGAAGTTAATCAAATGTTCCTCATTGAGGCAAATCATATGAAGTTCTTCTTCCGACATCTCGAAATGTAAAATTGTCTTTCAATGTTTCATTATCAACTTCGAACCTCTCGAAACCTTCGTTTTTTTTTGTTTTAATAATCAATCATCAGTATTTCTTAAATTAATTTATTAACTTTTTCCATGAAATCCTATTTACGAAATCAAGGATCCAATTACAAAAGTCAAACGAAAGAACTTGTGATCTTTCAAAACTCCCATGCCCCCAAAATGTCTCAATAGTCTAAGTTCTCTAGTTCTTGTTCTCTTCGGATTTTGTTCTTTCACCTTACAGGATGATTAATTAACTCATTTAGTTTTGAAATTAGAAGATAAACCGGAGACCTTACAAGAGATCAAGTAAAGAACAAGATTGATTGGGGCAAATAAAGAATCTGGTATTTCATCAATTTTTTATTTCGAGCTTTGACGTCATCTAATAATCATCCCCTTTTAAATATATTAATATGCTTTCCGGTTAACGTCCTCAGAACGTCTTTCATAGATTTGAAATTACTGTTGTCTCATCACTTACTTCCCAATAATCAGTCTCTATTTTGGTCTGTCAATTCTACTGTTCCAGATATGTGCTCGTTGCTCTCATCAGCTTTCCTTCTTCTTATATCTTCTCCAACCATCTTCGCTTGTATAGCAACTGCACCTACAACACCAACAACTACTACGGTTGCTACGACCACAGTTGCAGAAACCACAACAGCGATGACGAGTATTTCTTAGATGTTTTTCTTACACAAAACTAATCCATTATATTCAAGCGTCCTGTACTTCTTGTGTTGCAACTGATATTGACTTCCAGGCAGCCGATGGAGCTGCGGGATCAATCGACTCTAGTTTTAGGTAAAAATCAATTTCAAATTCATAAGCAATATGATATTCAAGAGAAGAGACTGTTGATCCTGTGACAGGTTGCTCTAGGCTCACAGCAATCTGTGATGCTAACACTGGCTTTACCGCTTTCATGGAATTTAATAGTGGTGAAGGTGGACCAGTAGAAAACTTAAACGCGGGAGAGGTATTTTCTCTCATTCATTTTTTGAAACTTTAATACTGACTCTTCAAGGTAGTAGAAGCTGCTCTGGGCTGCCGAGATGGAATGTGGTACTACAGAAACGAGCGAGTTATTACTGCTGTTTCATGCCAAGAGGCGATAAATGGGTAACAGACCAAAAATACTTTGAAAGGATATACATCACATATAATAGCTCAATATTGTCTTTCTATCTTTTTATTTCGCAGAATGTTTTAATAAATGAAATTTACTCTCGCAAAGTCTCGAAAAACGAAACGAATCCGAACAAATATTCTTCAAAGTTAAAGCCTACTGCTCCTCCGTCTACTCAGAAGTATCCGTTTCTATGTTTTTCTTCGAATAGTGGGCAACAGTTTCACAGAATCTTCCACTTCAGTAACAGTTTTACCTTTAGTCTCAGGAAGATAGAAGTAGAGAACGATCACTGTTATAATCTGCAAAAGTTCAAATTGAGAGGGACACAGAAAGTCTTGCAACCATTGGTGGGAAAAAAAGAAAGAAATAGGCTTGAGGCTGTCCAATAGAATTTTTGAGAGGTAAGTATCCAGCTAAAAGGAAAGACCGGCTATAAGAAAATGAACAGTTTGAAGAGATTAACACTTTTCTCACCAAATACTCATAGCAGCTTGAACCCAAGTACATGCTGGTCCTCTAGCTCTCTGAGACACTAACTCAGCTATAAGAGTATATGTGATTAAAAATGTTCGAAGTGTGGAATACATGTAACAAATAGTGATATCGGACCCGGGCCAGCCGCAAATGTCAAGTTGAACAAAGATATCGCAGTGAGTAGGCAGTAGCCGAGAACGGAATTCTTAAAGTGTCAGCAAATTTCAGTTCTTGGAAAGTTCGAGCCAAGCAACCTGCGTTCTTTCATATCCTATCATGAAGATGTATATCATTATGTTGATTAACCCCAACAGGCTGTAAGTCACTAACAATAGCCTTCTTCGTCCAAAGTAATCAATAACCAACGAAGAACAGATAATTCCCACCTGGACGAGCGTTCATCACTTTGGAAAAAAAATTTATGAGCTTACTACACTCATAAAACAAATTAATATGTTTCCATAAGATGCTTGACGCACTGTCAAGCCGGTCGATAGAAGAATTTCAAAGGCGAAAGCATTAATTGCTGAATGCATAATTAGTTCGATTTTTTTCTGTTCTTACCTGCAATTCCTGTCATAACCATTGTTATCATTATCACGATTCCTAATATCGTGCCACGTCGAGCAGATGAAAACTGAAAAAAATTATTCAAAAATCATCAGGAAACAGACACAGAACTTTCCAAATCTCAAACAATCCATATGAATCGCAGGAGCTATCCTTTTCTTTCTTCATTTCTTCGATAATCTCCTGAGCAGACTCGCTAGTCACTTCATGATAGAACTTGATAGATTGCTCACATTCTGTTATATGTTGTCTACTGAGCAAATATCTAAGAGGGATTGAGAGTAGTAACACTTTACAAACCATACCCTGGACTTTCTTTTACTAGAGGCATTATAAGTGCAACTATGCACGTTAAAACAGCTTCAACGCCATACATCATCCACCAGTATTCCTTGTTTCCCATCACCTAAATCAGAAAATCTTATGAAAGATAACTCAACAGTGACAAGGAATGCAACTGTTCTGTGCGTTGAAAAATTCATAAGATAACCATTTTACGGTATAAAAACATACATGAGGCATTGCTGTAACCGCGCCAACAACCAATCCGATTTGTAAGAGGACTCCAGTGGTCATAGATATTTTACCTCGACAATGCTTAGGACTTGAATATGTTGAACGTAAAAACAAATCAGTTAAGTGAACCTGCATTCCGCTATGAACATGGGAGCAACTCCAAGTGAAATACTGAATGCAAAACCAATCAAAAATCTTGAAAACGCATAGAGGCGATGGTTAACATACTGAAGAAATGCCCGAGAGTAGATAATAATTAAATCTTAATGAATAAACTTGAACTTACCTGATAACTTGCAATACTGAGCAGGCAAGACAAGATATGGATGAAATGCGAGAGCTGAAGACCATTTTTTCGTCCAAGTCTTATACATCTTTGTAGAAATTAATAAGTCCTAAATCCTACTTGTGAACTATGATGCTGATAAACAAAGATCCACAAGTACTTCCCCAAAAAAACAATGAAATAATTCCTCCCCAAATGCTCTACAAATCAGAAATGAAGGAATCGACAAAAAAATAGTCTCAACTCACTTCTAACTCGTTCAATTCATAATACTTTCCACTAGACGATAAGGATCTATTTACGAAATCAATAAAAGCCTGTAATATCACAATTTATTTCAAACAACTTTCTGAGAATACAAACGTACGTCTTGGGCAGGATTAGTGATTACCAGCTGATAACCAAATGAGAAGCTGCCGCCAAATGCAACCAGCAATGCCATTGCCATCAAATGAACACCTGGCAACTGAGACTTCTTCTTCTCTCTGCACAAGGCAGAGATTGCAAGTAAATTAAGTTAATTATCTCACTTAGGAACAACTGAGCCAGGCTCCAAAAGAGAATTATAGACAGGCTCATCATCAAAATCCATTTCCAATTTCACTCAGGTAATAGTTTAGAGTTTGAAAAGAGAAAGCGGAATAAAAGAAAGTTGAATCGTATTTCTTCTCTTCTCTATAATGAAAAACAATAAATTAACAAAACAATAGACAGCTAGTTATAACTGGTTCAAAAAATAATATTATGAACATTTTGAAGAAAACTATCAAGAAGGAAAGTTTGATATGAAGGAATTTCGAAACAGACGTCGTAGACACAACAATAACTTCAGAGAATCGAAGATAAACTGACGAATAACGAATGAACTTCTTATACGTTCAACAGCAGTTTGTAGCAAATTAACTCAAATATGAAAAAATCAATACGTTTGAAGATATTAAGATGGAGAAAGAATGAAGTCAATTTTTGGTGTAAAAATTATCAAGAGTTTAATAATCGAACCATCCCTATTAGGTCATGAAAGAACATTACCTTACAGTGCCCGGCAATTTCACATACTCTTAAATTTGAGAGAAAATTGTAAAAAAAAAGAAGGAAACTAAAAGATGAAACTATAGAAGAACGAAAGATCGTGAAAATGTCAAGAAGAGAGTTTGAATGATATCATTGAAAAAGCATTCTGTATCAGGATAACGACTGAAGTTATCATAATAATTCATAAAAGTGTCTACCCTCACCTGTTCGAAAATTAGTCTTTAACGTTCGTGAGCAAAGTTCAAATGTTTTTCCCCCATATAACGACTGAGTGAACAGAGTTTCAATCTTGCACAACTAACTATTGGAGAAATATGAAAATTTCAGAGAGGAGCAATCACTCACTGTATTAAACAAACTGTCCTCTGGATGAATACAAGTGACTAACACGATTCGCTGGGAAAACTCGGAAAGACACTGGAGCATTTAATAACTTCTCTTCGCCTATTGACTGAAAGTTCGTGTTTGTTTTACTCGATTATTTATGAGATTTACCGGGTTTTTGAGCTTCCATACACATTACTATAGCCATATAGCAGTTGAACAAATATGCGCGTCGTACTCAGAACAATAAGGCTTTTTTTAAAAAAAGCTGTTACTGATTTCAAAACGGCTGATGTAAATAAAGGCGCCGTTTTCAAAATACAAACGTAATTAGCATATCATGAAGGTGGCGTCAGGCAGTCCACGCAGACTTAGCGTTAAATTTGAACACTTTACTTTTCATAGGCACTTAATGAGGTTGTTTTCTTTATCTCTCCATATCAGTTAGAGGTGACTTTTTTTGAGAGCTAACAAAAAACGTTGCTACCATATACGCAAAGGACGCAGTGAGATTTCTGGGACGTGAGAAATTCCCTAACTTTTTTGAATGTTTTTTACCCTTTTTCGGAAATCAGTCAACTCTCTCCCCAGACATATTCAAATATGGCTGTCTGGGTTTTTTGTGCTCTAGTTTATTCTATGCGTGTTTCTCCGTGACACACTCTTTCAATTTTCATGTTTATTGAAAAGTTTGATAAGAATCACATTAATGCTCTTAGCTTTCGCAAGTTTAACCATCATATTCAATAGTGGGGAATTGTGGATATTTTGGTAAATGAAAGCCAGATCACGTTTCTTACTGTGCAAAGCAGTTTGTTCAAAAATTGCACTTGCTTTGAAAAAGTTTTTTTGCCGGTTTCTTTAAAGAAGTTCATTGAACTTCATATATAGAGATGAACAGCTGCTTCAAACTAACATATGTGATTACTTCATCTGTTTTTATTTTTTTCCCTCTCTCCTGCGGAAACCAGGGAATTCTAGGTATTATCATTTAATCAAATTTGTGACGTATTATGTTTCTCGTAGGGGTGTCCGAGTGGAAGTAGGTGTTTTTCCTCTTGTTCATAGAAGGAAATGAGGAAACTAAGTCAGTAACATATGTATGCCCTTTTTTGTCCTTTTCAAGCGGATAGTATAGAAGATTTCCGCCTTGACTGTCACTTTTTCTTCTTGTCATCTTGAACAAATGTGTTAGTGTTGAGCCTGATCAACCGATTCAGACTCATTCTCATTCTCTATCTTGTTGAAAGTATCTTTCGTTTTTCGCTTGCCAGTTCTGTGTCTACCAGAAACTAGGAATACCACTCAGTTCAGATACTTACAAGCTCTGAACTGCAAATACTTCCTTGACCTTATGCATAGATTCACCTTTACGCAGAACCATCTTCCTACAATTTAAAGTTTACTTTCATTTCTTTCTGAAGTCACTGTACACTGGTTCATCCCTTTTTCTAATCGAAACTGTATTTTCGTTCGCGTTTTATCTTCATTTACTCTAATTCACCATTTATAGATCCTTCATAGTTTTCTATTTCTAGGTGTTATGACAGCCATTATTAGTTCCGTACTTTCCTCAGTCAAAACGTATGCATGGATTTTATCGCTTCTATCATTTATTCCTGAGTCCTATTGTCGGGCACGTAGCACTGGTAGAAGTATAAAATGGTATCCTGGAAGCGATGAGTATGATACTTTAATGGGAAGTTCATACAATAATTATGTTTCAGCTTTTCCTCTGAGCCATTTCATTTGAATTTATCACAAGGAGACATTATTGCGTTTGTATGCAAACCAGAACTCCCTATGTCGTTTTATAGTGTATGACTCTTCTCACCTTCTTCGCTTACCTTTTTTCGCATTCAGGTTTCGAAAGAAGATTACTTCTCGTGTAGGAAAACGATGCACAGCCTTAACGTAGGATCTTGTGATGGCTCAAATAATAAGGTAACTACTGTTATAAAATGACTATCAATGTTGTCTGTAGTTTTACCAAACTTTACGTTCCGACTCTCTGATCCCCTGGAAACCAGATACTTATTACATAATTGGTAATAGTTTCATATATTCAAATTTCATTTTTTCTTTCAGCCGTGGACAATTATGGTAAGAGAGAATATTGCAAAGAGAGCTATTTGAAGATGATGGTAAGGATAGATTAACTAATATATATTTGGGATCGTGTATTGTAGCTGACTGTAGCCGGTGCGGACCAGCCAAAGGTTATATCTACTACAGAACTCATTCCCGAAGATACTCCCGAATTCCGCTTCAATCCTGCTGTAAGAGTCAATCTATGATCCAATGTTCAATCTCATCTTTCTTAGACTATTCCTGAATTCAAAACTAGAAACTCTAGAGACAGAGTCCCTCTATCAAGATTACCCGAGCGCTTTCATGGAGGAAAAGTTTTGACTTCTCAGGAAATTCTCAATGGTCGTTTGGTGAGTTTTTACCAGCTTGCTTTTCAATAACTGAGAAATATCTTGCTCTCTAAATTTTGATAATAAAATTGAATTCTTAGAAGTTTGTATCGTGCATCGGTACAACCGGTAGCGAAGACTTAGGAAGCGAGAAAGAACCAACACGAAAGAAAGGGGTGAATATTGAATTCATATTGAAAGAAAATGAGAAAAAGAATGATCATTAGGTTAAACTTTATGTTCATTGAGTTTGTTGTTTCTTTACAGGCAGCTTGTATAATGCTTAACCCTTCTTATTACACAAATGGGAAAGCAACAGATCTTATGGACACACGCTATCTGCCTTTGTATGGAAGTGAGGTAGAAAGACTGTACAGAAATGAATTTTATTTTTTCAGGTAGTGGATTGTCTACTGTTGTTCTACCAATTCTAGTCGCTTTGTTTCTGCTTTAATAATGGTTTGTAAATCTATCATGTACAGCTCTTTCCCAAAGTTTGTAATCCGTTTGTTTAATCATAATAAGTGTAATCTTCATTACATTGTGCATATCACCTCTTAGTAATATTCAGCTTTTGTAACCTTCCATTATGGAAAATAATTTATTAGTGTGATTATGCTTCATTTAGCCATCTTTGACTTGGTTTGGTTTGATCTTTCATGTTTTATTGAAATTTGGGCATGCAACACATAGTTGGCCTGTGAACTCTAGTTCTCCCGCGCAAGTACAATATTGTATTTGCTTGGTTTTAGTTTTCTTCTGTTTTGCTTGTGTTTAATTGTTATTATTAACAACATTTATTTAGCGAATTCATAAATGTTTAACATTGCCAAGTTTTATTCTCATTTTAAAATATAAATCTTATACATATACGAAAGAGATTAAAAATAAATCACAGATGAACACAAGGATTGAAGTGAGAGCAGGCAGGTAGATATAGACATGCGTGTTTCAAAAGTCTAATTAAATTTGCATACTAATATGGCACCTGGCTATCGAAGAAAAGCTGCTAATGTTTCAGAAAGGGTTTTTGAACATTATACAATACCCGTATAAAAACAAGATACTAGACTTACAGTCGGACAAGTGATAGAAATTCTTGAATTTGTATTCGAACTTACACAAGTTCGCAGCCGCACACCGGATATAAATTTTTCTAGCCAGTTTTAAATCTCTATAAAATTTGTCGAATCATAATTGTTAGGAGAAGAAGGATTGGAAGACTTATAGAAGTCGATGAATCATCTGAAAACGTTAAGAAAATTACAAAATATCTCCATGTTACCCACCATCATTGCCTGAATCATCTTCGTTGTGTATTATGTACATCACTGGTGTTGTAGGGGAATCATCCCTTCTGTAAAGATAAAAAATAAAAATTCCCAGGCGATGCTAATTAAGCTCACGTCAGCGTACGAGCAGCAAATTTCGGATTGACTTGATCTCGTCGTGGATGAATTTCAAACTTGATTTTCATTTGCTTCTTTTCGCATAGGCCGCCCTTCTTATTAGCGATTCCTTCCAGCTTTCCATTAGATGTAGCTAAAACATAAATAAACAACATGTTTATTATAGTAAGAAACGTACAAATCATGAAGTATTTCCGCCCAGGAACAAACTCCAATCCACCAGGCACAGGAGAAAAGTGCCGAAAAACTAGTTGAATGGAAAACTATAATCAGCAAGTGAGAGAACTCTTAACATCCAAACTCACATCTTTTTTTGTTTCATTATTACATGATCCAATAAAGTGAGGGTTCAGAAGAACACAATGATTGTACTCGTCTTCTGATACCTGAAAGAATGAGTATAAAAATGTAATTATTATAATCCATCTGAGGCCGAGGCATTTCTGGGAATGAATCGACTAGTTCAGTTTGTGCTCGTTAGCTCCTAATTCAACTTTCATCCGTTCTAAGCTATTTCTAACAACAATCGCTGTTCGCTTCTAAGATTTCATAAAGTTTTTGTCCTTGAAATAATCTTTCCGAAGAAACTTCTTTCACGCCAGCATTTGGAATCGAATTTAGTTCAAATTAAGTTATATGTCCTGCTCAGCAAATGCTAACAACCGCTCTATAGCATTCACAATGAGAAATGAATTTGAACGTCGAAGTACACTTCACGTATGAATTCCTTCCTGTTCCTAAATTGTATTCCCCGGCAGAATTGATCGGAGAAGTTGAAGAATAACTGAGCCTCACATTTTTTTCAGTTTTTTTTTGAAAACATTGTATTCCCCTCATCCCATAATAATGGTATGGCAAGACATTAGCTAGCAATTCATCAGTCATTTATTGAATATCCGGTGTCAATCCAGAGAGCTCATAAAGGGTCAGGGGGTCAATTTGATTAGATGAATAACAAGGAGAAGAGGATGATTGAAGTATATGAGACACATAAGGAAAAAAGGCAGAAGAGGAAATGAAGAGACAGTTCCATCAGCTTTTTGTTCTCTTAGCTGGTTAGATGATTGAATGAATCGCATGATTGTACTCATCATATAGCTAATACATTTATTTACCGAAGCTTCTTCATTATAACAAACACATGTGCTTCTTAAGGTGTTAATATAATTGAAGTCAGTCCAGCTACATCGGGGTGTCCCAAAACTACAAGCAAATGTTAGCTCGGCAGGGCACCAGCAAGGTTTAATGCAAAATTAGTGCGGAACATATAGTTAAGGAGGAGATGAATACCTCTCTCACAATGTCAACTATTCATAAAAAAGGTGGAGACAGACAATTACAGAAACTATGTAATTATAATTATTTCTGTGTGTGTGTCTGTATATATTAAATAAATACATCATTATAAGTTTACTGATGCTCTTGTTCTCCAAAAACCGTAAAAGGAAGATAAGCAGCACTATGATACTACTTATAGTTGTCAGTCAACTTAAGTATTTGTTAAGCTTCTTACATCTAAAGGTAGCTTTATCTACTTTTCTTGTTTACTCATCGCCTGATATGAATAGAACCCCGCTTCTATCCAACTGCTGTTCATGGTCACTTATATAATAGAGGAACCTTAACACAAACTATTTCAGAGGTCATTATTCGACTTTCATCATAGCGAACAGTTCATCTGTCAGTCAATTATTAAACGTTTTTTCAAATAATTTTACCATCTTCTTACTACTCCATTCTCAATCATCGAATGAACATGTGTCTTCCAGCTGACAAATGCGATTTCTTTGTGGGCGAGAAAAGAAATGGTCATTTATCCATTTGTCTTTTCGATCTAAACTGGTTTAAGACAAGCCACTTCCTTCAGATCTTTGACTTCAAAATATTGTGAGGTAAATGAAGTATCATCTCTCTATTACTCTTCCTCAATTCATTCATTTCTCTTTTTTTGTTCACAAAAGTCACATGTCGGCATATTTGATGACAAAACGACGATGACTTGCTGAGTCTCTAACGAATTATATTCGTTTCACATCGAACTATGCCATTTTGCATACAAAAAATTGTCTCAAATCAATCACAACTAGATTATTGCCCAAGGTAATTTCATGCTGGATGACATTGAAAATCCTTCATAATTAGTCACCAAAACAGAAAAATCAGTAAACCCGACTGCTCTGCCTTCTCTGAAGCCAATATTCATTACTACACTGCCATGGAAATCCAATACCAATTAGTACACAATAAACATGTCGATAGCACATGTACATACTTGTATGAAGCTTCACAAAAGAAAACTGTGAGAATGGCTGTCTATTCTTAAATTTGAAACCAAATGGCAATTCCCAACTCAATGACAACATTGGCAGTGTTAATGAACGTCTGACTCTTGGAAATGCTCCAAATGGTGGCGGTTATCGTTATCCCTCAAAACGAAAAATGTTTCTTGAGCAGGTTATGTCCAGCTCAGGTAATGTTTTGATGACCAGAGTAAACAAACGAGATTCTCAAATAAACACAAAAATGAGTTGATAGAGATTTCCTATTACTCATACAGTTAGTCATCATAGATACTCACAAATAGGATTATATGATATAGTTAAAGGCCGCTTCCTTGATTAGCTGAGTACCAATTGAAAGATGTTCATTTTCCCATACTCATAAAGAAGGATTTGTGGAGCAAAAACGAACAAAATATGAAATATCAAAAGATTCCATCACTTTTGGCCGGAGATGACTTCTTTATGAAAGGCTTAAGAAGGATAAGCTACAGGTCAAGAGCCGACCTCTCTCCAGAATGAAAAAGCCTTCATCAATCATCAATCAATAACTATACTATTTAAGCGAAAAAATAATATTTGTTTCATCCTGATCTCGGTTGGCACAGCTGAGATGAGCCAAAATTGATAAAGACGAAAGACATCGATAACGATAGACTCATATCCAAAGTACAGAAAGATTACGTAACAGATTATCTCGCACTATGTCAGGATTAACCTTTTAGTAACTCTTTCTTATCTACTTTCTACCTCTTCCCTTTCATTCATCCATATTCTTCATGATGGATGATTAACAGAACGTCTTTTGGTCTTTATGTGTGACTAATGTTATTCGATGACTTCAACAGATAAAAAAAAGTCAAAATTCTCATAATTCACTTGATCCATGCGCGCTCTCTCTCTCTCTCTGTTTCATATAAAATGGAAGAACTAACCATGTAAATATTCGAAAACTCAAATTCATCTACAGGTGCTGGCGATGGGCAGTGAATGGATACGCGATCATCAATTTCAGCTCCAATAACATGGTCGGTATTGCTGACATCAAATCTGAAAAAAAAAGGATTTTGTTGTTATGTTTGAAACTGTATGATGTCCATATATGTCTTTACTAAATCAATAACATTCAAGAGTCGGCAAGGAAGAAATGGAAAAAAAAGAAGTTTCTTGACAGCTGGACCTCCTGCCGTGACTGCAGATGGTGCAAAACTTGTAAAATAATTGACCTTTCCCTTATGGACTGTAATATTATTCTAAAGAAATGCTACTGTTGCATTGAGGGCATGAATGATTATGTCTCTCATGTTTGAGTTTGAATATGATCCCCTAACGGTTTCTTGAAGGATGAAATGGATTTATTGAGGATTGAGATTGTTGAAAAAGCAAAGAAAATAAGCATCGAAAATTTCATTTGAAAAGACTTTGTGTATCCACAGAAATGATCTGTTTGAATATCGAATGTCATTGGTCATTCTCTTCATAAACTTCGCTTCATTCTCTCTTTCTCTCTCTCTCTCTCTCTCTTCTTCAGTCTTCCTTTCTTTCTTTATTTAGAGCTTTTTCATAAAGCGAACACATCCAGTAGGCACATGGCTGCTAGCTGTCTGCATCGAATAGTCCGATTGTCACAAAACTTTTCTCCTCAAAAGCTTGGACTTGCAACAGATTTCGAAATGCAAACAGCAAACTAAGAAAAATTCATAAAAAAAGTTTTTTTCTTTCATACAAAACAGGAAGTTTGGAATACTCAAGTAGTTTATGACAAGTTTTTTCCTTTAACAGTCCCATAAGGCTATGGAATATCGTTCACGTATTCCAAATGGAACTGACTAACTAAGATAATCAATAATGTTATGAAGAACTATTGGTGACAGACCATTTATATGTTCCTCTCTTTGCTCTTGCCGCCTTATGATGTTTTTCAAGATAGTCGGAGATGGCTAGTCTTCCTCCCTAGTTTGCGTTATCGCCAAAGTTAAACCAAAATTTGGAACTGGTCTCCATTTCATTCAACTCTAGAGGGAGACTTTCTCAGCAGGTAACTTATGCGATTTTCTCTTCTAATACTAGATCATACGAGGTAGAAATGTTATATTCTAGATTTTGTATAATTGATGATGAGATCAGCAGGCGTTAAGCTGCCTTCACGACAACCAATCGAGCCTTTTATTTCCTGTAGCCTCTTTCAGAATATCTCAAAAAACTGGCTAATATTATAAAAGAAACGATGATCGCTTTACGCTTAGACTGATCTGCCCGAGAGAAGTGTGAAAGCTTCAAGGGGAAAGGACTTAGATCAAGGAGAAGTTCGTTCAGACCTATCACACAAGGTTTGACTCAATGGGCAAATGCTGTGAAGAATAAATATAGCTTTATGGGAATAAATAATCATTTGAATTTTGAAATGAAATTCCCTAATGTCCACTGGTTTTGTTCAGTCGATACAATAGAACTTATTCCATCGATGCCAATTGGATGGATAAACTAATCAAAAATTAGGCTTGTTAGTACTATGCGAACACTTCTTTCTCAATCAGATCTCTCTTTTTTTGCTCCATGGAAGTACTAATGAGGGTATGTTAAGGCGGCGATTACAAAACCGCCAGGTGGTTATTAGAACAATACGGAACGAGCTGAAATCCTTAATCCAACCACTTACTACCTTAAAATCATCTCTCTCCCTTTTTTCTTTCCTATTATCTCTCCCATATTCTTCTGTTATTTCCAATTAAACAGCTCTTTCACTATCCTAAATGACGGGAGATTCACAGGTTTGGCAGAATGACCGACAAAGACAATTGTCAATTGTTAGAAAGGCTGTCCGTTTGTTTTCCGGAAAAACCGTTCATTCCGCCAGAATTACATATGACTAATAATCAAGAATGATTGTTTAATAGCTAGTATCGAAAAGCTTATAAGATGGAGAAAGACATGATGACAGAGCGAATAACTTAGAGAAGAGAGAGAAAGAGAGGGAGTGAGAGGGAAAATTGTGTGTTTCAACTGAAGTCATCAAGATAGGCTGATTTTCTTATTTGGTTGTAAACGAAATCTGATCAGACTGGCATAACACATCGGGTCAAATGTCGTCAGAGGACTAATTTAGACATGTAAATCCAAAGCTGATTGCTAAGTAAGTAAAAGAGCCCAAGATCATATAGGATAACATGACGGAATAAGTAAAATGAAGAGATGAGCATAAGGATATTCAAATGGTTAAACAAACAAAGTATAATGATGGAATAACTAAAACTTACATAGAATTATTAGAGTTCCAATGAATTACTGGCAACCGCTTAGACAGTACATGATGAGCGTTAAAGACGCTATAGAGCGTCAAAACGAAAAATAGAATATCAAGACGGAGTTTGTGCTGTGAAATCATTAGTTCATCGCCCTGTAACTCTCAATATATTCAAATATAAAGACCATATATGCATATAAAACGAAGAAAATCATTCATGAGACTTTTCATGGAATTTATAAACAAATACATTAACTAAATGAAAAAAAAAGAAAAAAAGATGACGAAATAACAACTTTTTCAACAAAAATCATAAAAGCGATCATCTCTAAAGTTCCTTAACTCTAACCATATGGCTATTAATTGCCAACATATGTAGCAAAACATTTTGATATAAACGTCTAAATACACTGTAATCATTCTATTTTATATTTACTTCGTTTTTCTTTTTTAAAGTAAAACGAAGAAACAGCTGAACTTTTTCATTTTTTTTTTCAAACAAAAAATTTCCTTTTATAGACACACACACAGCACTTATACACATTAAGAAAGATAAAATGACGAAAACAACAATAATTTGTCTGATGAATAGCTTAAATTCATTGGAATAGATGTATTCTGAAAAGTCTTTTGGTCATCATCAGATGGAGAACTCACTATAAAGGGGGGCGTGGCTTATTGGACAATGACAGGGTTGGGGGACAGGAAAGAGGCGGAGTATGGGTTATCAAAATTGGTCTCCAAAAGAAACAATAACAAATAGATTGAAAGACAAGAGAAAGAAAAAAAAAAGATTTTTTTCTCCTCGTCCGCTAAGATTATGTGCTGTTTAAATCAATCAATATAATGCATAAATTAAAGTTTTATTAGATTGTGAATGGATAGAGATGGTGAGGTTGAAAGATACAATCAAACAATTTGTTTTAAAAAAGAAGGTGTTAACATGTTGTTACAACTTGATTGAAACGATGACATTTCAAAGCTTCTCCTTCATTCACAAAGCTCTTGAAAAACTTAATTGTCTTTTGCTTTTTATTGCTTTGACAACAATTTCGTTTAATCGAACAAAGAGAGAAAAATAAGAAAAAAGTTGTTTTTTTTTGAAAATTCTTGTTTCTTTTATTGTCTTCTTCATGCTGAGTAAGTTTATAAATGCATTATTGTTATTATATGAAATAATTGGAATTCAATTATAATATTCATGAGACTTCAGCTTATTATGATGACCCATTTACTCTTCACCATCAAAAGACTCATCAAAAGAAATGAGAGAGTTGCATCATGAATTCATTGAAATATCTAAACACAGAAATTATTTTTGAGATCATACGAATATGGTGTGTATGTGTGTGTGTGGACGTTTCAAATGCTGTACGCAACACACAATCTCATGCCAATCATCATTGTTACACATATCTAACACTTGCGCATGCGTTAGTTCACTCACCAATGAGGTGGGGATATGTGAAGTACACGTGAAATGCACGTGAACCGCATTTGTACCTAATCATTTTGAGTAATGCAGAATGTAGAATCGGTTGTAATCTAGTTTATGCGAAATTAATAATTGTTGGAAAGTATAAAAAATGAAATGGAATGGTCAATGCGATGAGCGACAGTGGATTTTCTTTTGTTAACCACTTGTGATTTATTCCGTGTGAATAAGGTAAATCTAAGAGAAGAGAGATGAAGATGAGAAATAGAATTAAAAAGAATGAAAAGAAAGGTAAAAGAGGAACAGATTCTCGTCAGGTACCACTCCTCAAACCAGAAGAGGTTGCGTTTTCGAAAATTGAGGTTGGAGGACAGTCAACTGTCATATACGGTAATTATCCATGCATATGGTTGTCCTCGAGCAGAAATTAAAGGAAGAACTTTCATCAAAACATCTCCAAGCAATTACTTTCGTCTAACGAGAAGTGATAAATTAATTTTTTTTTCGTATTATAGAGTTTGAAACAAAAAGTTTCTGGTTTGTGGTCAAGACAGTTTTGAAGGACAGTTTTCACTCAAAACATCAGGTGTTGAGATACCTTGAACACTTTCTCTTTTTTTTTGGACAAAATGGGATATCTGTGAAACAAGTACTTGCTGAACTAGAGTCATAAGGACACATATATCATATCCTTTCATTCTTATCCTCATCTTTATGTTTTGTCTAAATGTGGTCCATTAAAGGGTTAGAGGGGTGAACGACAAGGAAAAAGCTTCACGACAAGCTTACATTTGGCGAAACTGCGCGGATGTCATTAGAGACAGAAAGAGAGTGAGTAAGAGAGGAAGGGAGAGCGAAAAAGTAATAGGAAGATAGTATAAAAAGGCTTGAGGATTAGAATACTTTGCTGAACTCGATGATTGTGTAATCAAAGAAAAACGATAAAAGAGTACTCGGCCTGCGAGGTTTTCCATACAGATGATGTGACCACGAGAGTTTGAATGAAGAAATCATGTTCGAACAGAAGTTTCATCAGATAACAGAAATTCAATTGAGTTTGCTTAAAAGAATACAAAAAAGGAAATTTTATTTCTAACATTGAGTTAAGCTATTGCTATGGATGTGGTCTCCTATTTGCATATGGTTCTGTCCACTTGTGCGTGACGTGCTTCTTCTCAAAAGCTGATGCTCAGATCATCATGCTTTGAAAGGAATGGCTCTTTACTTGTCCAACATGTTGCCGTTTAAAGTATCTTTCACAAAATTTTCTGTTTCCTTTCGCATAGTTTCATCTATTTGGCAGCTTTTACCAGTCAGAATCATTGCAAAATCTGTCACGCAATCTCATCCACATATTCCAAAGAAAAAGCCGAAAATGTAAGAACCTCATGAAGCTCGCTAAACAGAGGAAGAGGTTGATGATGGAAGAAGAGCAACTAATTAGCTTCTCCAGCATCTGTGACTGACGCTTTAAGTACTCCCTTTTTCCACATAGAAGGAAGAGAGAGAAAAGAGGCAAAACCGGTGTTAATTGGCTGGAGCAACATCAGGATTCATTTTGACTATTCCGTTAACTCGTTCATTTTGATCCTCTCACACTCTCTATCTGTCTTTTGATTCTCTTTGTATTTCATTGTGGCAATCGCTGATGGATGCTTCCTCTGCTAAATCGCTTTAAGCATCCCTTGTTTCAATAATTGTCCTTATAGGATTAAGAGGTAAAGAATCATCAAGCGTCAGCACTGCTAGATGATTAAAAAATGAGAAAAATTATTGATTGATTCACGTGGCTCACGTGAACCAAGAAAACATTTCATGGAAAGATTCATTTAATAATGGTAGATGGCTAAAATCGGTTGCATGCAATAAATATTTTATAAATTTCAACTTATCTATGATTTCAAGAAGTATTGAAGGATCTATTCAGATGAGTGATACTTACATCATAGAACTTTGACATTAAAGCCAATGAATGCTTATAAATATAAAAATTGTAAAGCTTTTATAGATTCATGAAAACGAACCTAATTTCAATCGAAAATTCTTGAAAATAACATAAAATATATGAATGTTGTCAATTATTTTCGATAAACAATCAAAATGTTTGTCATATTCAATGGATGAGAGGAATGGAGAGAAAACTTGAGAAAGCATTCAGTGAATGAAAACAGCTGAATCACTAAGATTTTAGTCAATCTTTATTAGGCCCTCAGGCTGTTAAATGCTTTTGGTCATCGCGACTTGACCAAATACGGTGGTTGAAGCTCACACTTGTCTTCTTTCCGGAAATTGGCAATTGTCGGCCAGTTTTGTCAAACAGAAAACGGTGTATTTGACTTACTAGAGGACATCTTCAAAACATATATTCCAGCTTTGAAAATCAAAGAAATAAAAGAAAAAATAATGTTTGCGATTGAAATGAAGAAAGAATGTTAAGAAATGAGAGAGATACATTTATATACATTTGATTTCAGATTGAATAATAGGATCATAAAGGAAAGCAAAAACCTTGACAGCATTCGACACCTGCACGAACAAGCTCCGTCACACATCATCTAATCTTCATAGGCTTATTATCCTTTTTAGGATTTGTCTTATTGGTCATCTTCATACCTCCGGCAAAGAAAGAAAGCCATAAGAGGCCACACAAAACTTTCTTTTAATTGTTTTCTTAACAAAACAAAACAAAAATGGAATAATTCTGAAGAAAAATGTGTCAACAACTATGATTTTACCAGTTACGGATAGTTCGAAATACCGAAAGTATCGTTCGATTGAGAGAATAAGGTAAACAACGTATATACAATCAGAAGAAAACAAAAAAATTCTTTTTTTTTACTCAACTGACATACGACAATATGAATGATGTGAAACATGGAGGATTTACATGGTCGTTAAAAAAGTTGTGTTTGAGGTTTTATTTAAAAATATCAAAATCTCCATGTTCAATTCTGAGACGATTGAGAAAGGAATGTTGATGTCATAGGGTGAAAGTTGTTAATTGGAAAGGCAATATGAGAATAGAGGATATTGAAGGAAGATATGAAGAATTCAAAAGAAATTCACAAAAATAGACGAAACTGATCATTTGCATCAGTTGATGAGGATATTGGATATGATAAAGGATGGAAAATAAATATTTTATTTTTCTATATTTGAGGTAAGTCAATGATACCATGAGTGAACTTGACTATATTATGAGATAATAGAGCTAGATAAGGTCGATTGACCCCCTGATGTGAGTGAAAGACAGTCTGATTATGAAGTGACTATGGAAACCATTGATTATCATTCTTTTCAGAATATTTTTGAAAAACTATAGTGGAATATTAGTAGTGAAAGGCATTTCAGTTTTCAATGAAGAAAAATATAAATAATCAGTCAAGATATAACTTGATTACACTCTTACCACCACGACACCCCCTCTCTCTATCTCTCTCTCTGTCTCTCTCTCTGTTTGACTTATTTCATTCAATCTCTTCCTATCTTACCCTAAAGGTGTTTCTTTCACTAAAAAAGCAAATTGACAAGATAGTGTATCCGTTTCTGGTCTGGTTGTTACGCGACCCAGAATTTGAGGAGTCTTCACCTTAAACAGCCATAACCTTACTCAATTCAACTCTATCTCACCTTTCCGTGTTATATGAGATGACAATCTTTTTTCTCTTTTTCGAGAAATTCATTCCTCTCATTGTATCTCTCTCTCGATATTTTCTTTTCTCTTTATCTTCTCAAATCTTTGTAAGGATCATAACGATTTCTTCGGGACCTAATAAACTGACGAGGCGGAAGTTCATTAATATATATCGATAACAGACACATCTTTCTTTTTCTAAATAATTTTAGTGCTCATTGATGATTATCGTTCGAATAGTCACAGTCAGCCGTCTTCAGACTTTCTCTTTTCACACATCTACTTGGTATGGTTCTTAAGTACATTGAATAAAGACGCACACGATCTGGTCACAAATCTGGAAAAGGTGGCAATTTTGAAGTCAAATAGAGGGTGAACCAGTCAAAAATAGAAGGATGCATCTCTCAGCCTCTTCAATGCACTTTCCCTTCTCTCTATACTTGGCAATGAAGAATGACGGAAAAAAAGCTTGGTATTCAATTTTGATTTAAATGGATTTCAGCTGACAGCTCAAACCTGACACCAAAATGACAAAAGCTGAGATGTTGGTTGCTGAGTGAGTTACGAGAAAATGTGGAAAGAAAAGAAAGAAATATATTTTCTTTTCAATCAAAAAAAAGAAGCTTTCTAGAAAACTCATATTATCCCAAGCTTTAATAACATATACTCTTTTCATTGTATGTGAGGTGAATATGTTTTTGTGATGAAAAAGGACGAAATGAGAACTTATAGTCCGTCAATTGAATTTTCGTTCACTAAAAGGAAGAAGAGTAACTGAAATAAAATTTAAAGAAAAACTAGACAGAAAGCTGATGAAGTTCGTGAAGGAAAAACGAACAGAACGATAGGTCAACTGAGAGAATAAGTGATTAAAAACTTTTAGAATATATGAGAAAACGTTGAATGGTGGAAAAGTATGAAAGAGGATTGAAAAGACTTTTGTTATAACGAATTACATTGCTTCTTATGATGGTGAGGAAATGCATGTACCTCATCATCTATATGAAATGAGATTAAATTTAAAAATTCAGCTGGATCATTCACAATGTGTCCATTGATAAGAATGCCATGACCTTGAATAATAGATTTTGTAGGTTATGTTTGTATTTTTCAATTGCAAACATATTTATATTTTCTTGATTGATTTGCTCACGATCATTTTGTAAAAAAGGGTGAGGTATTGGGTTGGTAAGTGGTGATGGTTCAACGTAGTTGAGATAGGTTGAACCACGTATCCTACACAAAGCGGAATGATTCTTCTTTTGTATTCAGTCAACTTCTCATTTGTTTAATCAATGAACAAGAAATTTTCAATAAAAAAAAAGATAAAACCTGCGCTGATTGTTAATGGAATTGAGTTGAAAGTGAGATTATTGTCTTTAAATGTGAAGAAACTTCGTCTTTACGATCACTATCACAAGAAAAATGTTTAATGACTCCACTCAAATGACAATCATTCAATTAAAAGAAACAAAAAGATCAAAAAACAGAAAAACAACAAAAAAAACAACAAAAATCGCATTTATGCAAATGAAGCAGGGTGAATACGTAACGTGCGACCTGTTATTTTCTTTTCAATTACGTATAGAGTCGGTTGCATTCATGTTCATTCCTCTTCACAACCTTGTTTTCTTTTTCTTTCTTTTTCTCAGTTGTCCGTCCATTTTCTTCAACACAGAATTTTAATATTTTACTATATTTGACAGAATATTTTACATTTCAGCTGTCTTACAATCTAATTGAATTGTCAGCAAGACAGACATCTCATCCGCTTCAATTTAGGAAATAGCATGTTACACTCAGAGCGTACAAAGCTCAACTAGGCACAAAACGAGGAGAAATTTTATAGTTCAAAGCTATTTGAGGACCACCAACTAGTAAGAATGTGATTCTCTCTCTCTTTTTCTCTTTCTCTTTCAACTTTTGAGTTCCACAATATATTTTTGTTCATTCTGAGTTCGCCTGTCTTTGGAACAGACATGTATGTATGTTGGTTGCATGAATCAACCACCATCTTTTCATATTTATATACTGTTCTTCTCAATGTAGTTTTTAATTTTCTCATGACTCCAATGAAATCGTTTTTTACTTTTTTTATAATAAAAATTTGTTTCAATCCTGTTTTTTTATTCATTCTTCACTTGTTGTTGCGCCTCTTGTTTTGTCTTTGCAGTTAACAAGCTGAGCTTCCATGAATATTGGAGAAGAAGAATGGCCGACACTCCCTTCATTCTGCCATCAGATACTGAATTTATCTTGTAAAGATGCTTTCAAAACATTTTTGAGATTGCCACACTGGATAAATCACGTGAATTCAAACTTTTCTTCATATTTGTTCAAGAAAATGCTGCCTAGCCTAGCCATACATTCCGTCCAGTTTCCAAATAGAACATTCAGATTAATATGAAATATTCCTCGCAAACATTTTTCAGAATCATTCCACGCTCATAACTTCCTTATTAGGCTTTCTTTTCATAATGCCTTCTAGTCGTTTTTTTCCCCAACGCTTCTCTCGCGTAATATTTTCATTCAATTATGTTTTCTTTTTTCTCGTGCGACTCATCTTATTCTTTCCGAAATTGTGCTCATTTTCAAGATTTTATCACATCAACTTACAGAATGTTTGAATTGCCAAGCTTTTCACCAAGCACTTGCGAATTTCTAAACAACATTGAGAGAGCCGAAAACGTTTGTAAATTACTTTATTAACAAATTTTCATTATTTTTATTAGGGTTTGAGCGAAGAAGAAAGGAAAACGTTCAAAGATGAAATGAATCTATCAATTAGCGAATCACTCAAAGAGTTCGAAATCGTTTTCGAACAAGTATCTACACCTCTTGTTAGCCCAACTACGGAGGAACCAAAGCAAGTGACAAGCAAAATATGACTGTATATCGATTGAATGTATTTGAATGATTTCTTTATATAAACATTGCAATTGCTGTACATTCTCAGTAACTAAGTATTGTGAAACGGAAAAATATTATATGAATTCTAATAAAAATTAATTTTTAAAAACTGCTTAATCATACAGTATACAGTGTTCCATGATAATCTCACTTCATAATAACTTGGAAGAATCTACTTAAGAAGATTAGTTACTGAACCATATATTAAGTTATAAGAATACATATAGAGGATGTAGTATATAGAAAGAATTATGAGAAAGGTACGCAATCCGAATATACGTAGAGTGGCGTCCTTTGCGTAAAGGCGGAAAGTATTAATTTTCAAACATTCAGATGCGTGTGATGCATGAATTTGCATACATTCATAAATAAAAACAAAATTCTAAAAATAATACAAATTGTAGGTAAATGCCACTGGTTCGGAATCCTCGCTTTGCTCATAGAACGCGTCCTAGCTCCATAATACCCTGTCAAATTGTGGACATCTCCGAAATACAAAATGATGATGAATATTGTGAGCCGGGAGAACATGTAAATACTCAGAAGTTTCATTCTTCAGTAATGTGATGTTATAGTGTTTCTATGTTTCGGTTTGTCTAGACGATACAACTAAAGAAGAAGAACCAATTTTCAAAGAAACTCCGAAAAAAGCAAAACAGAGGGAAAAGGTAACTCATGAGGATCATGCACCTACGATATCATTAATATTGCAGAGAGAGCGAGTCAAGAAGAAGTTGGATTCTGTCTCTGAAACATTTGATGAGGAAAAAGAAAACGAATCTGAGCATGAGGAAGGAGAAACAAGAGAAAATCTTACAGTCATAGAAGAAGAGTGTGGTGATACTGATGAGTTACTCAATATAAAAGAAATAAAACAAAAGGTTAGCTCTAAGATCTTTCATAAATAGTAATATTCATTCAGATTGATGATGATGAAGATTTTTCTCTGCTCATCGAAGATCAAGATGGTAACCCTTTGGTCCAGGTTCAAAAACTTCAAAATTCTCATTAGCAAGTATGCGGTTATAGAAAGATGAACGGTTGGTCTTAGCTAGTGAAGATGATCTTAAATCTCGGAAAGCCAAACAAGAAAAAGCTAGAAATAGTGAGAACCCAAAATCTATTACTATCAATTCCGTATTTCTATCAGAAACGTCGCAACATACACCTCTAGTCAGTCCTTCGGATACTCCTGATGTCAGTCCCACAGAAAATGAAAAAAACAAAGAGAAACCATCTACCAGGCGGTCAGTTTCTCTACTTAAAAGTTTAAATGCCTGTAACCTTTCAGTCGGAGAACAAATCAACGTGGTAAAACCATTGCTATCGATCATCAGCTTGAACATTTCCGAGAAGTTATCAGAACAGGTAAGACTGATTGCAGTTGCGTAAGTAACGTTCTGTTTAAGTGGCTCGAAGCAGTGCTCCACGAAAAAGTTATGTTGTGTGCAACGTATCGCAAATGTGGGATAATCATCATCCAACCGTGAGTTCATTTTGTTTTGCTACTTCTTTTAACTATGTGTCTTATTGAAGACTACACCAGTTCGACCTCCGAAGACAGGCAATTCAAGAGGTATATTTATGAATATTGGTTTTAGTCTTTTTTTTTTAGCTTCAGTTCTATCACCTATTCGCAGAGATTCTCGACAGTTCGCTAATTTTCCATTACATAAATCGGTATTTCAGTAGGAAGTGATTGGGGTTATAAACTATGTATTTATAGTCTCGTCTGTCCGTGATGATGCCACAAATGTGTTCAACTCCCATCTTGAGCAAGAGTTCAGCAGTAAGTTCTAGACAGTGTTATAGGAAGAATCCAAAAACAAAATTATTTGTTTCAGGTACTTGAACGCGACAAATCGATCCTGGCTTCTAATTCTGGGAATCCTGTTATGCCCCCACCGGATTTATCTGCAATTGCTCATTCTCAGAGCTCTATCCAACCTATGAGCCCATTCACCACTCAGGAAACTCGAACACATACTTTTGTAGCCCCTCAATCTCTTATCGAAGAATGTAGTACGCAAGAAGTTAGTTAATTAGTGCTCAGCATATCCAATTGTACCCTTGCAGTCAAACAGTTTTTCAAAAGAGAAGGATGCTCAGGTCGACAATGTTCAATCCACGGATAGAAAAACGAATGAAAGCGTGTTAAAAGATCCAATTACTAGTGACAGCATTGAAGCACCTAGGTTGAGGTGGGGTTATACAGACAAAACCGCGAATATATTTGTGCTTTCAGAAGAGACTCATCCAGAAAACGAAAATCCTCACCTAAGCGAGGTAAGATATTGAGTGAGAATAAAATTTGGTTTTTCTCAGATTCTTCAGATGAAACACAGCCAACGAGTCCCAAAACGAGTGATCTACATACTAGTGCTTCTCGAAGTCCACTAGCAGCTATAAACTCTGAAACACCAAGTAAAAGTCTGACGAATCTCTCACGGTTGTCTATGGATTCTAAAACGGGTACTTTCTACAATGAAAACAACGATGAGGGAGATTGTCAAACTATGCTAACGAGTAAGGATTATGATGTGTTAACAAATTCAGATCCTATTGTAGATCAAAACACTATGATGTTTGAGGATAATGGTCGGGAACTTTATCAGCAGAGTATGCTTAGTATTCATCCAATGAATAATATAACAAATATGACAACTTGCTCGGTATGTCCTTGTTCGTTAAGGTTTTTTATTAGTTGCTTAAACAGGACTATAGGAGAAACACTACAATGACGAAACGTAATATCACTATTATGAGAACAGACTCTATGTTGGATGGATCACATATAGTAGGTGTTCTGTGTCTTTAAACTCTAATAAGAATTTTGAAGATACCTAGTATACCATTTTATCTCGAGGATTATGAGGGAGAACATACGCCTTTAAGTCATCTTCTCCATATTATTGACCAAAAAGAGGTTATGGGATGGAGTGATCTACCTAAAGAGTTTGTTCTGATTTTTTAATCATACTAAAGTATTGTTATGCAGAATGATAACAAATCCCGTCAAGCTTGGAGAAGGAGCCTATGGAGAGGTTTTTAAAACGTATATAGATGAAACACCCACGGCTCTCAAGGTTTCCTTTTTTTATTAATTGTGATACTGTACTTGTTTAAGATTATGCCCATTTCGGCAGAAATGTTGGATGACAGAATGGTTGTTAATGGAGAATATATTTTTACTGCTGAGGAAGTTCTTCCAGAGGTATTCATCTCTTATGAATAGCCTGCATATATGTTAGCGTTTTCAGGTGTTAATTACGCAACAATTGTCCGCCTTGAATAGCATTGATTGCGATTTCAGTACCCCGAATTTTATAGAAGTTTTAAAAACTAGAATAGTACGAGGTGAGGCTGTAAAGTAGATATTGTAAATAAGTATATGATATTGTAGGTAAATATCCAGCTGCCTTCTTAAAGGCTTTCGATATTTACGCCGACAAAAACGAGTGTTATAACGAGCGGCCATCCGAGTATCATACTGATGATCAATTGTTCCTTATACTGGGGCTATCATTAGGTGGCAAAGATTTAGAAAAAGAAACTGTAAGGCACTCACGGTTTTCAATTTGAAAAAGCTCATTTCATAGGTAACTAATGAGAAGCAGTTCTTTTCCATTCTCTTTCAATTAGTTTTAACGCTAACAATAGCTGAAAAGGTATTTAATCTTCTTTTTTTCTGGTCAGTTTTCAAAATTTTGTAGACATTGGAATTTGAGCATAGAGATTTACATCTTGGAAACTTGCTTCTTGAAAAATGTGCAACCAAAACAAAGCTGCAGTAGGTGTGATGATTCTTGATCTAAATTTCATCTCATTTATAGATATAAATATAACGGGAATGATTTCTGTTTATGTACACATGGTGTCAAGATAAAAATCATAGATTTTACATTAAGTCGATTGAAAAGAGGTTCAACAGTTTTCATTTCGGTAGCTTAATTCGGATACTCAGATGCCATTACATTATTCAAAGACTTAGAAGCAGATGTTGAACTATTCGAAGGACAGGGAGAGTACCAATATGAGATATACAGAATGATGAGAAAAGAGAATAAGTGAGAACTTTTATACATTTTTGCAAAATGGCCATTAATTCAGAGGAGACTGGAGTATGTTTGAACCGAAGTCTAATCTATTCTGGTTGCATCACATGGCGCATGAGCTGCTTACGAAGAAAAACTGTCCAAAAATAACAAAGAAGAGAAAAAAGGTATGAGCGTGAAAACAATACGTATTTCCAATGTTAATTAAGGAATTGATGACGGAAATGGACAAACTTCTTACACTGGATTCTGTAACAGATATCTTGACAAACGAAAGTTTCACTTGGATGGTGCAAGAAGTATTGGTAAAATCTTAACAATGATATTGTTGCTGAGATAATGAGCTATTCAGCACTCTGTATATACTTTTATTACCTTTTCCAAATTTCCAATTAATTATTGTAAGAAATATGTTATGTAATTCACGAACAATTTAATAAAACAATTATAATACTGGCCTTTCATACGATAGGCTCGAGCGAAGCACCACCCATGTCAGTTGCCATAGCTTTGCTGAAATTTGGAGTTGTGTCGATGAGAAAATCATAAATGGATGAAAGTTCGTGTGGCGAACTTTGTATATCTTGCGACCTTAACACTTTGATTCCTCTGCTTTACACTATTCCAACCTTCATTCTGTATTTCATCACCATACGGTTGATATACAAAAACAAGGAATTTCATTCTCTCTTTTATGTGCATTATGTTACCATCGCTGTAGGAGTGAGTTGTCTCTTATATGGGTTTAATTCAACCTTTGCTTTTCGCAGAACTGTCTTTTCTGGATATCTCAAAACATTCTCGATCGTCTTTTGAGATTAACAGTCGGTTCTTTTTTCTGTTATGCGTTTTGAAAAGTATTGGTTACAGATAGTGTGCTCTTTCTTCCTTGAGCATTTTGGGGAACCTAATCACTGGTTCTTCGTTATTAAGTTGATATATCTGTACTGTCCTCTTCTTATATTCCTAACATCTACTCTGCTGATTCTGAACCGATTAACTGCTATATGCTTTCCTATCACACTTCATAACGTAGGTACTCTTTCTCATAAATTGACTACTCCCCCTTTTCAAGGTTTGGCAAAACCATCAGAAGAAGATAGTTCTCTTCCAATTCATCCTTCCTATAGTGTTTGGATTCCACGCAATTCCTTGGCAAATTTCTCTGGAGCCAGTAAGATGGAGAACTGGCTTATTCGTCAATTATATCACAACTTGGCCACATGTAGGTCTATATATTTCAACACCGCACTAATATGAAACTACCAGCTCCCTCTTGGGATAGCGAATAGCAGTGTTGGAGCTGTTTGCGTTTTTATCATGATAATCAGTACATCATACACCTTCTACATAATCTCTACAACTAAAATTCGATCTCAAAACAATAAAAATATCGAGTTTAATCTATTTCTAACGGCGCTATTTCTGTCATCAATAACAATCATGTTCTGCGCATATCAGGTATCTCATTTTTAATTGTTTTTTTGAGATATTAAATAATTAGTTTCTACAACTATACTTTAAGATAATATACTTCACTACTAGTCAAACGAGGAACCGCCGCGCGTTCTATACAGTTGCGAAGTACAGAGGTTCGAAACTCCATTCTCGAGATTAGCGCCAACAAATCTTCAGGTCCAATAGTGGACGTTTACTCACTGCTGCCTGCGTGGGTTTTCGCCTTGTTCCAGAAACGAATACGTGATAATCTGTTCAGACGGTTTCACCTCATGAAACCACGTTCACCTGTTACCACAGTTAGTTATCATAGTCATTAGTACATTCTTATTTGACTCATAGACTCCTTTCAATCAGAACATATTAATAAGTGTTTGATGGAACTTCTGTTACCACTGATTTCAAATTAAGCTTCCATCAGTATTATGGTTTCCGTTTGAGATCTTCATTAATTGTTTTTCTTTGCATTTACTTTCTTCTTAGGATGCCGATGTTATTTACCATTTCTTGTTTATAAATATTTCTGTTCAAAAATCTTTGTTAATGTGGTGTATGAACTTTTATTTTTGCCCCGTAGTCAGGGCGATTATCAATGTATCCACGTGAAGTTACACGTGGGAAGTTTCATTCGTCAAATCCCTATTTCAAATAGCGGTTGAATGTCTTCGCAATCTTCGCTATGTTCTCGACCAAAGGTAATTCCGTTACATCATATTGTAAACTAATTTCTGAAAGCAGACATTGGTTATACATATGTTCCATGATTGTTCCGAGTTAGAATATGTTCAATTCAAGTTTAACGAGAAGCATTTCATAACGAAAGACTTTTCATACATTCTCAAAGAAGTGAATGACAGCGTGAGTATGAAAATTCTTATTTGAAGAACAACATTTCGTAATAGGGTAAATGCCTGTTGAAACTCTCAGTTGTCCCTTTATGTATTTCTGAATGGGAGTTGATATATCAACTGAGAGTCAAAACAGGACTGAGTTCGTCATCCTTGCAAATTGTTGATAAAGTAAGTTAATTTGTATTTCATTTAAAATAAAATGTTCAGACCATTGTTCAATTCTCTCCCTCATCAAACGAAATTTCATTTGAACTACTAGATGACATCAAATTTGTGGATTTTGAACTTAGAACAATCAATGAGGTACATTGAGCTATGTTTAGTCATAATTTACAGTTTTAGTTCAACTTAATTTGCCCTACTTTTGCACAAGGCGATGTTATTCTTCGATTAAAAGATGGCTCCTACGTAAAGACGTATAAGTCATTATTATCACTATCATCAGAAGCACTTTGTAATATATTCTCCATTGTTTTAGTTCATTATATGTCTCAGGTGCAGCGGTGTCGTCATACCCTGCAATGAACTGTTTGGATTTATCGAATCTCTCGAGAAATGCCGTTCTTCAATATCTATACAGGGTGCTTTGGCAAAAAGTTTTTCTTACCCTTATATGTGTTGCTGCAGCTCTATCCTAACAGAAGAATGATGAATCAAAATTTTGACGATTTCGCGAAAGCATCCGTAGCTTTGTGCTCGCGTTCTTTCATTCACAAAATTTCTGAATATGTTTGCTCTTCATCCTTTAAACCAGTAAGTACTTTGATTAGCGTTATGTGTAGTTGATATAATCGATTTAGACACCACTCGTAGAACGACTGAAGATAGCATTGAAATTACGTCTCACTCCAGCAATCAGAAAAATTATGATGAAGTAAGTATTTGTCTAATATAGCACTGCATCCTAAGTTAAGACTCGTTCAAAGTGGAGAATGGGATGTAATCCTGGAACAAGATCCTAACTTTCTTGAAACTGTTCCCTTGGATGTTTACAATACGCTATTACAGCCAATCATTGCTCAGGTTTCGCGTTAGTTGGCTACCATACTATGAGAGTTTAGAAACGTTTCAACGAGGCGAAAGTTGAGGAAGAAATTGATTTCTTCTCGGAAACAGTAAGCTCTTGCAAAATATGGTTTGTGTTATACTCAGCAACCACCAGGCTGCTACTAATCCACACAACATGAAAGTTATTCTTCTCGACACAGCGTTTTACGTCAACACGGGAATTCTGAGCGTGAACGGAACGAAAGGTTTCGAAAAACTTCCTGATGGTAAGATTATTCTCGATTTCCTTTCTGACGAGGCTCTTAACTTTACTGAGAATTCCAGGCAGCTTAGTTGCGAGGTTCTCGAAACGTTTGCAGAGAGAATGCGCTTTAGTTCAATGCACCCCTGGCGAGGTTTTTGTGTGTATGAAACCCTGAAAACTTATCACTTATCAGGTTCTGCGACTTCTTCTCACTCAAATGTACCCCGGTGGTTCCTCAATTCCTTTGAAACTAGAAAGAGCAGCTTTAGTCTTTTGTTCTGATCATAAATGGACGAAAATGATTCAAATACTTGAGCAGGTAAGGATTAGCTTATTTTTTATTCACAATAATAGTTTCAGGCTTATATGCGCAATCCTTGTACTTCAGAAGCAGAGTTTTACTTATACTTAACTTTCGCTGACGAGCTAAATCTACAAAACTTGAAGAGGAGGTGTTTGTTGTATGCGGAAGGAAGGTAGTAGCTATAAGTATGATATCATTATTATCATATTCAATTATTTGCAGCTGTAAACAATATGCTCATCAATTGATCCACTCCCCCGACTTTAACAAATTTACTGAAAAAACACGTAGACTATTAGTCGATCATGTTTTTTGTGGGTGGAGCGTTAACTGCCCTTCTAACGAGGCGTTATCCAATCGACTTGCTCTCAGGTAAAGTTTTAAAATATATATGTCTCACTTAATCACAAAGAGTGCCAAATATTGAAAACAAAAGAGAGATAGGACATAGAAGAGGAGGGCCGAAAGGTTATGAAGATGATCAACAAACTGATCATAGTTTTGATAATTAATAATTGAAAGTCGAACATTTTATCGGTTTATTTTTATCAGTTAGTTTTATAAGTATATATGGATAAAGTGTTTAAATATCATTAAGATGTTCTTCTATCGTCGTGTAGGATTAGAACAAATCTGAATTAGTTATGTAGACATTGAGAACGGTTGTCTAAATCCAGAAGTCGTTATCAGCAATATTTTCAAAATCTAGTTTTTGACGTCTTCTGATATGAGATGAGTGAAGCTAAAAAATAGTTTTATAGTAGATGTATTGCTGGGGAAACGAACGCGTCGCGGAGTGGCATTATCAATGCGTAGAACAATAATATCACCTCTAGGCAAATACCTCCAAGGAATAAGTTTAGAATCAATTTCTAAGATGTTACTGCTCTTTCCAGGCTTGAGAACTGTTTTGGTTCCTAGAATTTTAATTTCTGTCTGTAAATAGCCACAATAGTTTTACTCGAGATACGATAAACCGAGGAACCTTAGCCGTTGGCTTGATATGTTCAAGAACGATCTTGTCGAAGGAAGTATTCAGAACCCATGCATATATTATGGTTTTTGCTGCATCTTGTTTGCTATATAGTTCTTGTTCTTCATTTTCCCCTTGGTAGCGAGCAGTGTACCTGAGAAAACCAGTAGCAAAACACTTCATTAGAAAATTTAAATTAATACCAAGTATCTGAAGTATCATTTTGAAATATCCAAGGCTTGCTACCATATAAAGCCTCTTCAACATCTCCCAAAAATCTAGAGTAAGATAAACCTGGGTTTTATTTATTAGCTAACTCACTCTCCAACTTCTTGCAAGCGGTCTTGTACAATCAGAGGAATTCTACCATGACTGTCTGGACCCACATTAACTAGAACATTTCCCCCACAAGACACAGTTCGAGCTATTTGAGCAATAACTTCGTATGGAGTATGAACATCTTCAACCTTAACACTTGGATACAACAGCATATAAACCCTTGAAAAACGGACCTCAATGTCCGCTCGATATCCCCAGGATTTTTTATCCATTGAAAAACAATTTTCCCATTTTCTTGGTTGGAGAACACCTGGATCATAATGATCGGAGAATGTGAGGAATCCGCCATGTTTACCCATAACACCTTCACCCCAACGATCGTTTACAACTATTGAATCTTTCACAGGACTGAGGCAAACATTAGTAATCAATAAACTAAATTGAAACCTTTCGTTATAGAGCCAAGCTAGTAGTTCTTTGCTTTGCCAGTATTCTTCAGATCTTTCCCAATCTCCATCACTCCATAAGATCTTAGGTTTATAAGTATTGATAAGGTCATATATTTGCGGAAACACAACATTCTAAACTCAGAATTATATCTAGTTGATTTCGGTTATCAGATACCTCTCTGTACGCAGTGAGGTTTTTCTTTCCATCGTTTAAATAGAGAGGATGGAACCATTCAAATAGAGAGTAGTAGAGGCCAAATGTTATATTTTGGGCAGTCATAGACTCACTCAATTTCTCTTGAAACGTATAATATATCAATATGATTCTTTCATATCAATCTCACCAACAATGTTCTGCTTTGGACCGGAATCAACAGCATTCCAGATATAACTCGATGTGGAGGGCCACATTGTGAAGCCTTCGTGATGTTTACTTGTCAAAACGAAATATCTGAATAGTTATTTATAACGAATATTATATTGTATTGGCTAACTTAGCTCCAGCAGATTTAACAATTTTTGCGAATTCATTCGGATCGAATAAATCAGCTTTGAACTGAAAGTACAGAATTCATATGAGGAAGTCAGATTTATACGCACATCCTTCGCAAAGTCCGAGTACTGAACGTTCGGTGGGTAATTCTTTTCAATGAAATCCAGGACTTCCGGATTTCGTTCTCCTCTCCAGTACCACCATAGCCACTCTGATCTGTATATTAAGGGAAATCCTATTAATAAATTCATTAAACGATACCTATGAGCTGGAACAGAGTACACTCCCCAATGGCAGAATATGCCAAACTTATGATCGTCATACCAGCTTGGCAAAGGACGAGAGTCTATCGATTCCCAAGTAGGCTACAATACATTGCGCACAATATTGATAAAAGAAGTGTCAAAAACTTACTTTATACTTACAAAAAACATTTGTAATCAATAAGAAAAACAGAACGGAGTTCAGCATAGGTTAAGAGTCTAAGAAAGACCTTATGATAAGAATGGCTTCTGATAAGAGAACTGCTGACATTTTTTGTTTACTTCCAGTGATTGAAGAAGACAGATAATCCAGCTAGTGCTTTCTTATTTTACAGTAAAATGGCAAAAGCGCCTTCTTGTGTTACTACCTTCCTCCTTAGTATTGATAATAGATAACTAAGTGTGAATAGTTTATTTATGTTCACAAAAAAATGAAACTCAAAATCAGATTTTTATCACTAATGACGAAGGAGAAATATTGGAACTCACAGAAATATCAATTGACTTTGTAATTAGTTGGAATACTTTGATGCGAATCTCTCTTATGCAAGCTATGAAAATCCACGGAGGGGCTATAGCGCAGAAATCCACAATAGGACCTTTTTGGATAAAAGGAATATATTTGTTTTTTCAATGAAGACATACCTTTCAAGGATTGTAGATCAGATAGTTTTCGATCATTGGGAGATATGGATAAATAGTAAAACAGAAGCATCTGGGACACATTTATTCGAGAAAAAAAAAGCTGAACTTACTTGTTGAATTGAAAACAACATGGTTGTCATAGAAAAGTAAATGCTCGTAAAAAACAGCTTGATTTCAACTGAGCTATCAATTCGATGGAAGTACCGCATTTTCATTAAGCATATGGAAGACACTAAAGTTAGAATGAGGATTACGCAGAACACAACTGCGCCTGTACAGGCATTGATGGGATTTGTATAAAACTGAAACGAGAAATTGTCTTAATTTTTGATTGCCTACAGTAATACTCGAATAGGTTTCATATAATCTATTATAAGTTGACCTTCACTAATGAATTTCAAATACCCCTTCCACGTGAGGGTTAAGAAACTGAACGCAAAAGGGATGAACAGTTGACAAGCAATAACAATAGAGTTCAATTTTCTCCACATCTATTATGGTTACGAACTGAGAGAAACTTCTAATTCCATTTACCTGTGGAGAGGACAAAGGCTTCAATATCACTGAAGCTCTGTTCATAATCATTATTAAAACGCAGAAATACTGTGCCAAAGAGGTATAAAAATATGTGAAGAAGACTGGTGTCAGATAAAACCCCGGCTCAGAGAAGAGATCGAACAGCAAAGGGCATAAACTGGGGATCCGAATGAAACGGTCTAACAGAAAATTACTTATCCAAAATAAGGAATTCTGAAACTTGGAATACTTTCTGATATCTTGAAATTCTTACTAGGACGGCTAGAATTATCACTTGGTAGAAAAATGGATGATGAAAACATGAGTTCCGTCTGATACTCACAGTTATCAATATATAAAGGATTAAGGAAGGAACAAAAATGAATACTGGATAAACTAAAGATAAGGTACGAGAGAACGGAACGTTGATGTAACAATTCATACTGAATGGCATGAAAAATTAGTGAAAGTTATATACAGGATTTACATTGTCAGGCAGAGCTTCAATCAATTTCCAACTTCCTCTGTAACGAAGATCCGCTTAATAGGCGGTTTGGTTACGACCAATGCCTTTTCTAAATATCCAGGGAACTCCTACTGAAGAATCAATGTAAAGTTGATGAAAACAACATAAATTGTTTCTTTAACACGAATAATCAAGATACGGCTGGAGCTCAAAAATGAAAGGCTTGAAATAAAATAATTGCAAAGGCAGGAAACTACTGATTCTAAATGAAATATTCATGCATAGGCTAGATCGTTCATAATTCGTTACTAAACTTTGCAAATTACAAAACTCAAAAAAAAACTCTTCCAACCTTGACAACCTCGAGATTTTCCTTAAGCTACATGCCATACTTCGTGAATTTCATGATTTCAAAGTTTGTTTTTCGTGATGATGATATGCGTTTCCCTATTCATCGCCTACGTTTTCCAATTCGGATATAGCAATATCATGAAGATCAGTGAAAAGGCTTTCTACCATATTGGAAGAACCATAGGTGCCATCGACTGTCTTGTAAAAACAAAATTGAGAGCAACACTTCCGGTTTTCCAATCTCGAAGGCTCTGGATCGTGGTAACTTACAAAAGATCTTGTTTTCGAAGTTGACTGTTTTAACATATGGACTCTGATAATACATAGAGGATATTGCTTCGAGGCATTTATCAGTTTCCTCTGGTCTCAACACGCAAAGATGAACGCGCGGGAACATATCCAATTCAAATCTATTCGTTCAAACGCGGTACGTTTGGATCGTGTTAGCGCCCTTATTGCATTTTTGCTTATGATATTTTGTCCTTATATATGATAATATTTCATAAAATGCTCTTTCAAGAAATAATTTGTATACATTTTATGAACATTAATCATTACAGCTTCTTCCACGAAAATGAGGAATGGTGGGGAATCCCACTTCTCTCTTGACGACTTCGTAAAGCTCGAAAAAATTGGAGAAGGTTTGTTGTTCAATGAATGAGACTTCAAAGGTTATAATATTTTAGGTACCTATGGGGTTGTCTATAAAGGTCGTAATAAAAAAACAAGTCAAATGGTAGCTATGAAAAAAATTCGGCTTGAGAGCGAGGATGAAGGAGTTCCTTCGACAGCTATCAGAGAAATTTCCCTCTTAAAGGAGTTAAAGCATCCCAATGTTGTAGCGCTTGAAGATGTGATCATGCAGGTTTTTTGTACTAGATAGAATTATGTTTACGTTACTCAATAGGAAAACAGATTGTATCTTATCTTTGAGTTCTTGTCAATGGACTTGAAAAAGTATCTTGATCAGCAGCCCAAAGGATTGAGCAAGGAGACTGTACAAAGCTACTTGTTCCAGGTTTTATAGACAAAACATAGATTGTATTAATGTGTATATATTTAGATTTGTCAAGCCATGTGCTTTTGTCATCAGCGCCGTGTGATCCATCGTGACTTGAAACCTCAAAATCTGCTCGTTGATGGCAAAGGAGCTATAAAGCTTGCTGATTTCGGTCTAGCGAGAGCTATAGGAATCCCCGTCAGAGTCTACACCCACGAAGTGAGTTATAAACATACTGATATTTTTCAACCGAATATTCAGGTTGTGACTCTGTGGTACCGCGCCCCAGAAATTTTGCTAGGAGGAACAAGATACTCCATGGGCGTTGATATGTGGTCTATCGGTTGTATTTTTGCGGAAATGGCATCTAAGAAGCCTTTGTTCCAAGGAGATTCCGAAATCGACGAATTGTACAAAATTTTCCGGTTTGATTATCTCCTATTGTTTCATGTAAATGAAATGTTCACAGAGTGTTTGGAACACCAACTGAGGAAAACTGGCCAGGTGTAACCGCTCTGCCTGATTATAAGTCTACCTTCCCAAAGTGGCGAGGAAAACCTCTAACTGACATAATGGGAGATTATATGGATGATGATGCCCTGGATTTATTGAAGGTATGATATCTTCTTCTGTTTGTGTTACGCTATGGTTACAGGCTATGCTTATCTACGATCCGGCCAATCGAATCTCTTCTCGAAAAGCTCTAACACATTGTTATTTCGACGAAGTGAGTTATACTTTTTCCGGACAAATGTATTGAAAATATTTCAGGTTGAAACTTCTCGTCTTCCTGCTGGTGATTATAGAGGACAACTTCAACTTAATTAGATTGAAATTAGCACTTTGATGACTTCATTAACATAATCTCACTTTTATAGATACTCCATCTCTGCTTTAGAGTATTATACTTTGTACATCCATTGTATTTTAGCTTTTACTTAATGAAATCGTAAATTCTTTAACCCTCATACTCGGATCGGTTTGATGTAGTTTTAACTCACATAAAAGGGGATCAACAGTCGTTCTTGCTGTTTACTATGTTTCGCTGTAGTCAGTAGCATGAAGTCTTTGTTGAAAATAAACAATAATTTATTACATGTCTGATTGGAATAATTGCACAGCGAATTTGACTATCACAGTTTCTGTGTTCTTTCCATGTGTGCCTGACAAGAGATTCAATCTGATCAACATATGTGCTATATATACCTGTACGTAGTCGCATCTTTTTGGTGATAGGTCCGTGTAGTTTGGATGTTTCATTGATCAAGTCTCGTAGAGTTACGGTTGCTTGCTCTTAAGAAGTAGTAAATAAGCTAACACCGACTATTGTTTAGTCATATTACCGAGTACTGGAATGTCTGGGCAGAACAAACGCTTTTGATAGAGAGCAATATGGAGAGTACTATCAATAGAGCTAAACGGGAATTGAGATGTCAATCCCAAGTCTTGTTTGGACAAATCAGCATCAATTTTTTCGGTTACAGGACCGAGGGTTAAGTGAAACAGGTGCTAGAATAGCAAATTTTCTGGTGCATTTTAGAGTAACTTACAGGTGGAGATCCAACATTTTTGCCATTTACATTCTGAATGCTGAGAATTTCGATAAGTAGTCTACCTTTAACCGTACTAGAGACCAAACGTCGATTCTTGAATTAAACTTTTGTATGAAATCATATTCACCGCCTACGTTTTCCAATTCGGACATAGCGATATCATGAAGATCAATTGCTTGTTGTATTTCTTTCGTCCACATTTTTGTAGCATTACGAGATTGGCAACGGAGATGAACCGACTCATCACCTAGGTAAGACAATATATAACTCTCGTAGTGAAACAGCGTTTACCATATTTGATTATGAACTGAAGTTCGTTGTCTTTGATCAACTCTAGTGAGAGCTTGCCCAATAGATAAGGCTGCTTGTATAGCGTGAGTTTTACATCAAGAGATCGGGAAATTTTGAAGCTATCGGGCTGAAAAAAATGTATTATGTTCTAATTATATCGGGTGATTACATCGCTGATCGTTTCATCCGGGGTGCACAATATGAGGAAGTCATTGAAGAGAATTCCTACAAGGAGTTTACCACTTCTGACTTTATAAAGTACTCCTGAGTGTAGATACGATCGACTGCCCTGTAAGAACAAGTTGTAGAGCAATATTTCTATATTTTCAATATCCGATTGCTCTGGATCGTGTTGACTCACTAAGGATCTTGTTTTCGAAGTGAACTCTATCGGAGGATGCAGACTTGGGCAGCGAACATGTTGTTGCGCCCAACATAGGAGAGATACAGTGTCCATCTCTTTGACAGCCTGATTCACTTCAGACACAAGAGCTCGTAGTAATTGTAAAGCATAGTCGAGATCCTGTAGTGAAGTTAGAAGAGCTGTTTCTTGCTGGCTAGCTTACTTGATGTACTGTGACATAAATCTTATTGGTTTCTTTCAACATCTTTTCTACAAGTAGAGGATATCTTGTTACTCTTCCTAGTGGGATCATGATGAAATAGTTTAAGGTCATTCCTCTTGCGTGAGTGGAAGCACAACATTGAGCATAGATTGCTCTTGCGTCAGGCGATTTCAAGAGGATCGGAATAGCTTCTAATGCTGATTGTTGTTTCTGCAAGAACAAATATTCAATGAATGAATTTCAAAAAATGCCTTGCAAAATTCCACGAAAACTGATAGTGAGCTGATTTCATTCAAGAAAAGTGATCCTAAAGAATAATCTTTCAGAAAAGTATATAGTATTAGTCCACCTATGGGTTCATTTCTCTTCATCCTCGTTAACATTTTTTTCGATTGTTCAATCAGACTATCCCAATTTAGAAAGACCGCATTAAGATCTGCTTTTCTTACAACATTGATCAAATTTTGATAGAAAAGTTTCTTAGCTAGGACTAAGTCACCCAGATACCTCTCTTCTGTGGTGATCATTTCCTGAAATGATCGAATAACAATATTTTGCAACCCTGGCAGTCAAACTTCTTTCAACTTCAAGAATTTATCTGTTGGCACGAAAACGTCCATTACCGGAGGTTCTTCGTATAAAGCAGACATTGGAGCTGTCTTAATCAATTATGTTTAAGTAGCTTCGAAGGAAAACGGCAACCTCATAAGTACCCGGTGTTGGTGGAAAATCATAGAGAGCTGGCACATCAGTTCTTCTTGGAATAGGAGTCTCGATTGGAGGAAGCTCATAGAGAGATGGTGGTTCGGCATATAGAGAAGGTGCGGTGCTTCAAAAAATAACATAAGAAGAGTTGAGCTGGTCTTGATCACGAGTGTTATCATACTTTTTTAGAAACAGAAGACAAATTAGTTCATGAATAACATGCCCAACTAAAAATGTTCAAACAAAAGTAAGAATTCACCTGAAGAAAGATTACTAAATCAAACTAGAAACAAAGCATGCACTAGAATGGACATCACGCAAGCCACCACACAACAATCAGTTTTCTTATTGATAAAAATAGAATTCAAAATGAATTTATTAAAAAAACATCTGCTCAATAAATTACTAATAGAATTATGTAATAACTATGCATGATTGTCTATGGTTATAAAAATACAACTGGTTATTTCTGCTTTTTGGTATGGAATGTGAAACTCACAAGAATGATAGTTGTCTCCCATACTCATCAGAATAAAACTACAATCTTATTATGGCTTTCAGTGATTATTGAACTTTGTGTGGTGGGCGTGAAAGTGAATGTCTAGGGAGGTTGGAAAATATTCATTTAATCAGCGGAAGGTTCATAAAGCCCTATTATGATTGCTAAGAATTCTTTTTATCAAGTTAATTCGAATCTGGTAATGTACAAATCTAAAACGCAAAGCTAAAATATGCCAGGTAGGGAATGTAGAGAAGTGCAGAAGTGAACATAAATTAAACGGAGCAAGCCCTTGGGTATTAAAGTGTAATTGAGCTACCTCAGCTGCACATAGCTTGCTGGAAAAAGTCCTTTCTGGTTCGGCTTTCCTGCTTTATGACCTGTCCACCATTCACCATCATCTTTATTGTCAATCTATTCAAAAACTTCGTTTCGTTCCAATTTTTGAAATACTCACAATTATAATTTCGCCGGTGGAGAACGTTAACTCATCAGTTTGACCAGCTGTGTAATCGAAGAGGGCAGTTGCTGTAATTTCTTTAGCACCGGAATCAACTTCCTTAAACGGAAATAATATATTCTGTACAGCGAAGTTTGCAAACCTCAATAGGTACTACGTAATCTCCCGGGAACCACCCTGCTATGGGGTTGCCGTCCCGAACGGTTTCACCTTCCCACCAACCAGAGTCACTTTTTTCGCGAACTGAGATGATGTCTCCAACATTTACAGATAACTGATTATCAGCGGTTGCCTTGAAGTCTGCTACAACACGGACGCGGCAAAGTACGGTATAATGAGAAGGTGATTGAGCCACTGGGGTAGCTTCTGTAAACTCACAATTAAACATTCTACCAAACCCCACTTGCCTGGATCTAGCTTCTCCACGTAATTTGCTGGGAATATACCAGTTTTTCCATTGCATTTACCTTTCCACCAAGATTCATTTCTATTTCATATACTTAGAATAATTATATAATTAAAAACTCAACTGTTCCACAACTAGAATTTTATCCCCGACAGCAAGAGATAGATCAGTAGGTTCAACAGCTTCGAATTCAAACAGAGCTACATACCAATCAGAAGCTTCTGTAAACATTCTATAATGCAAAATTTATAAAATGATTACTTTTTTGTGGCGATTGTGGTGACGATGCAGCCAAAGACTGAATTGCCGAGTTCAAAGCGGCAGTGGCTGTCGCGGAAGCTGTTACTGAAGCTACAGACGCTTGTCTTGAGCTTGCAAAGCTTTGTTGGGGAGTTGATGGAGATCCTTGCGCAGGAGTAGCTTGTTCGAATGATTGCGAGAACGAAGCAGGCTTCGAGTTTGACTGAACTTTGACATAGCTTTTGGGGAACCATCCAGTAGTTCCGTCGGTTTTTTTGCCACACCATTTCATTTCTTGTTGTTTTATGACCTGATCAGAATCATATGCATTCGAGATTTTCTTGTTTTTCGAACCTCAATGATATCTCCTTTTGCGAAAGAGAGATCTCCCTCGTTCCTAGCCTTCCAGGGGAATTGTGCGACGCACGTGCATATAACAGGATCACATGTATTGGGTTGTTCTGAAGCAAGTTCCTAATGAACGATAATTTACAAATAAAACCTTCAACTATTGGAGCCGCTGTTTTCACCACACTTTCTTCGGGGATCCGATCAAGAGATGGCGATGGCGTTACGTTAGGTGGCATGTTTTGGATGGGTTGAGCTATGGAAGTTGTAACAGCCCCTATGGGTTCCGCAAACGCTTCAGGGAACCATCCAACTTTCTCTTTGATTTGACCAGCTCGCCAGCCCGGTTCAGAAGCATGACCTTCGAACACGAGAATCACATCTCCTGGTTGGAAAGATAACTCGTCCTCGGTACGAGCGACAAACTCGAAAATTGCACGATATTTAGTTGTCCCGGTAGTGGTTGCATTAGGTAAGCTTGCGGACATGCCATCTGAAAATGAGTAGGAGTTAGTATATATAGAAACATGTTCAAATGTATTCACTTGATTTCAAATCGGTGTGTCCTGAGTTACTCATGATCGATTGTTTCATTTCTTCCGATGGAGGTTCAGCATAAACCGCCCCACTTTCATTTAGTTTAGAGCGAGCTTGAGTTTGCAAAGTATTCAGTTTTGTAAGAAGTTTCTGATATTCTTCGCGGAGAGCCGACAATTCGGATCGTTTTCCTTGAATTTCTCCTTTTTTCTGAACAAATATCTAGATCAGCTTCCAGTTATTACTGACCTCTTCATGTAATCTACTTTGATTCGCAGTTCTTTCTTTCGATTGCTTGAGTTGTTCTTTCATGTTTTCTACGACAGATCTAACATGGTCCAACCGCTTAACCGTGTCTCCAAGCTCGGCCTTCCTAGTGGAAGTCTCTTTGTTTGCACTTTGAAGTTGTAAAAGTTGATGTGCTAGTTCTTGTGCTTGAACACTCAACTGAAAAAAAACATATAACGAATAATAATAATATAAGAAAATACCGCTTGATTAGCCACTTGCAGCTCGTGAATACGAGTAAGCTTTTCATCCCTTGCTTCCCTCATTCTTTCGATTGATTTGGTGATTTCAGTTATCTTCTCTTTTGCCTGAATATTGCATCAATTCATAACTACGTACGTATGATGGAACTACCTGAGTTACTTCGCTGTTGAGATCTGTGGTTTTCTCATCTAAAGCTTGTAATTGGAAGCCTAAAGTTTTTTGCCGTTGTTGACGTTGGGCTCCTTTTTCCATTTCTTGCTGCTTTTGATTCTATTTTTGCAATTATCAAACTTCCTAGTATGTGAAAGTTACCTGTAAAGCCTTAACCCGAGCCTTTTCTAATTCAACCAATCTCTGCTTCTCTGCTTCCTTTCTTGCTTTTTCGCGTTCAGCTTCCCGTATTCTTTCATGCTCGAGACGAACCTCCTCTTGTTGTCTCATTCTTTCTTCAAATTGGCATTATATTACAAAATCAATGAATGCTACGGAACTAACCTAGTTCTGCTTGCCTTTCAGCTTCTCGTTGTCTTTCTTTTTCTAAGCGTTCCCGCTCCCGCTTTTCCATCTCTTCACGTTCACGTTTTTCAATTTCTGCCCTTCGTCGATGCTCCTAAAACGTCGTTTGAGGAAGTAGTATAAGCAACAACTAACTTCTTCCATTAAAATTTGCCGTCTTCTTTCAAGTTCAGCTTGACCTTTCGCAAAGTTGTCCATCCTCTTATCTTCAAACGTTTTGGGAGCAGGGCTTTTTTGCGCAGGTGGTGCACCAGGTTCCAGCTTGAATAGGCACAATACATGATACTTAAGTTAAGTACAAACCTGAGGGCTATTGTTAGCAGAACGAGATAATCCACACATCTGTGTAAGCTCGGCCGGAGTGATATCAGGCAGAGCAAATCCATTCTAGGTGGGAATAGGTTAATGATGTGAAATAACAAACAAAGCTACCTTGCTCATGTCAATCATATGCATAGCAATACAAAATTCATCCACACTCAGTTTACCATCTTTGTTTACATCAGCCAAACTCCAAATATGAGCTAAGAGAGGAGTTGGAAGTCCAGACATTCCAAGAGCACTTCTTCCTGCCTGTCCACTCAAAAAACCAACTCTTTGCTTAAAACAGATATTCTGAGAAATATGGATGATACACCTCACTTTGTCCAGTTGATTAAACTGTTGACTATACCGAAGTTTATGGTTATGAGGAATTATCCAATTCCCACACTGTTTTCCAGAACTATAAGTTGATGGTGGTGGTCCTATAGCAGTTCGTAACTTCTCGCAACCACTGGTGAAATGTATTACCTGGCACAGAAGGACGATGTTGAAGTAGCTGATTGGGCTGATACGGAGGCGTAGCCTGATTCATATGTGCACCATAAGACATGGGAGAGGTTCCCATCACTTCAAAGCATAAATACATGCACTCAAGTCATCTTCTACTCTTACCATTTGGGGAAGACATATTCATCATATTCATTGGGTTCGGAGTCATATTCACAGGTGCAGAGGGAGTAGAAAAACTTGCGTTCATAGACGGGATTTGATGAAGTGAAGCGGGTAGCACAGGTGGGAGAGGGATTCCAGCTATGCAGTTTCTAGTAAGTCTCATCGCAATGGAGAATTCCTTGTCAGTCAACATGCCATCTTTATCAATATCAGATAAAGCCCACACCTAGAATAAGTTCAAAAAATCTCATTATATGATTCAGATCACTGAACCTGAGCTAAGATTTGAGGTGATAAATTACTTTTGTTAAGAACGGTACTAGCAGTACCACCATCAATCTTTCCCATATGAGGATTGAGAGCTATGAACTGCGAGAGGTTAGCTTGATGTTCAGCGGGAGTGACTTCCCACACATTTTGATTCATGGTGTTTCTACGAATACAGAACACTTTTAATTTTTATTTTATTTCGAACTTACTGTTGTTTTTATATACAAGACGGCACAGTTCAGCAAAAATGCTCTAAACTAGAAGTCCATACAACCTGTAAAGTGTAGGAAGTTTGAATTGAATGATAAACGAATGCAATGCGAAAACGAATATAAACAAAATATAAAAACGTAATCAGAATAAGAACTCGTAGAAAAGTATATAAAGAGAGGAATAGCATACAATAGTGTTTTAGGAATATTCACTAGAGAGTATTGACTAAAGCCGTGTTGGGCTCCCTAAAGTAGGCAAGAACATCGATTGTGTCCCGCAACATGGCTTCGATTCATGACACAGCTTATAATAGTGCTTGGAAGAGCTGAATTTCGATGCGCATAACCTCAAATAATAAAAAATTAAGAAAAATATATAAATCTGATGCAGGACAGAATCAAACTGAAGGTATGACCAATCAAGTTCCCGGTAAACATTTACACAACAAAATTTTAATGATACAATTTGAGTAGAAAAAATAATTTTAAGGTCTGCCTCTGTTCGGGTGACTTATATCAGGCCTTTTCGGAGGAGGTCCAGCGCCCCCAGAGTTAGAATTAAAACCTTGTGGTCGTTTTGATCCGGGAAAGCCTCCTCTGTTAACGGAATTGCGTCTAGGATCGCCACTCGAAACCTTTAGAATAGATTATTAAAAATTATCAGAAAGGTTATAACATACCTCTCCTTCCTCAGGAGGTGAGCCTTTCCTTGCTCGCTCATTCGCAGCATATTGAGCGTTATATTCGCTCATGTTGGGAGTTTCCGTATATCCCATGAAAAACTCACCGATTCGCAAACACTCTCCATTCCGTCCACAACTTAAGGTTAGAGATCCCTTAGAAAAAAGGTGTTTTACATCAACTGGTTGAAAACTCACTCTATGAACATTAGTATACCCGTTTTTCAGTTTAATTATGTCTCCTGGCTGAAAAGCTTCAATGAGATCAGGACTTCGGAGAGAGAGAGTGACAGATCCTGTAGTATCAGCTACTTTTAAAGTTTGTATAGTATCGCCACTAATGGTTCGGAAAAGCTGACCTATTGAGAAAGTTTATATCTTCCGTATATTTTCTACTTACCTAATTCTATAACAATAAATTGAATATTTACACCGGTCATTTGGGGGACTAATTGATGGATTTTAAAATATTCAGTAATTTGTTGATGAAGTGGAACAGAAGTCATCGTTAATCATGGAGCTTGTATCAAAACTTCGAGGAGAATATTATATTCAGTGATTTGTATAAAAACTAATATTTCATACAACTATTTCAAGCATTACTTAATGGATATAGTAGCATTGATTACTCATATGAACAACCCGTGAAAAGACGCAATTGCGTACTTATATATCCACTGTTCTCAGAAATAAATGATTGTATTCAAATAGAAGGCGAATTGACAAAACGTATGGGATACGCTGAACTTCAATATTACTACAGAAGATTATGGTATAATTCGTGAAACGAGATTATTGATAATTATTTTAAGATTTGTATTTATGTAAAGCTCTGTGTTCCCACTAACCTAAGTGAATTTTTTTCGCTTTCAACTGCCATTTTGATGCGAAGCACACGAATCTTTGAGAAACTGAGCGAAGTTTGCACTAGTGTGGCTCTCACATTTTCGGAATTTTTTTGTGGTTTTCGATCTGTCAAAATTATTTTAACAAACTACATAGGTAGATCAAGTTTGTGTCACCACATGTCAAATGTCTCAAGTGCTGTCGAAATACTTTTTACCTCTGAGATATTCAACCTAAGTAATTCTTCTAGAATAGAAGAAGAATGTGAAGAGTCAGTGGATCTCAGGAAATTTTAAGTTCTCCTTTTGAAGAGCGCTCTTTAACCTGTAATATATATACAGGATCTTCAAGGATACATCAAAATTCTCAGCAAGTTAGACTTTGTTTTTATAATAATTCTATGAAAAGTTTCCAGTTAACCGAGTTGTTACGTAGCTGCGAACTCGTTATGACTGTAAAAAATAAATGACTTTTGTCGAGAGAATGAATATAAACAAGATGCAATCAGAGTTTATAATTGCGGGTTGAGTTTGTAGGTAGTAGATATCTTCCTCTTGGAACAAGATCAACGAGTGGGAAAGATGGAGATAGAATAGAGACTAAAATATTTTTCTGAGTTCAAGCTGCTCCGCTTTGATATCAGTGAGTTTGTACATTCGTAATATCTACTAGAGATACTATCAAAAAAACTCTTTTTTATAATATCATTTGTTTCGTTCAGAGGAGCGTTTTCTAATAAGTTTGACGAGTTGCTAAAATTGTTTTCTTTCGAAAAATACGCGGTAACAACAGTACCTGTCGGAGTGTGAAATGAATTGATTATAGAATTCATACTTGGAAAGTTAACTCAGAATAGGTTTGTTAGAAGTTTTCTCGACATCTTCATTCTTTCCCACGCATACGTATGTTTCCAAAAACTTTTTTTTCTTCGCGTTCTTATCGCTTTAGATAAATTCCAAATTCTGGCGAAAAGATCAGAATATAAAAATGACAATCAGAAACAGGTGAAAAGAAAACATTCGTTTCAGGTATAGGATTTGCTATCACTGTTGAGATAATGAAAGGCTACAGCCCAAGTTCGAGAGAATAAACTGCTTGCGAAAACGTCTCGGAGATTGTGAGCAGAGGTGTCAATAAGCTCCGTCTTCCTATTCACGGCAGCAATGCTTGTTTTTTTCTCGATGGATTGGTATGCCTATCTTATGTACTCTTTCTCTATACTCGGGTTCTTTGTTATGATTTTATCTGTGTATTTCATTATATATGTACCTGCCAAGTTAAACTTCACCAACAAACTAGCCATACTAGGGCACGCTCTCATGTAACTAATTTTGAAAATTTATTTTTTTAATATGTGTATTCAATTAAGAGCATGTACAAATCAAATTTTTCTAACAGTTGGAACTGTCCCCGTATTCTTTCTGCCTTGCATAGGAGGATACCCCAGAGGAGTTTTAACTCTTTTAGGAATGAGCACTTTCGTACAGTTCGTTATTCAAGTAGCACTAGTGGCTAGTATGCTGATAATGATATAGCAAAATGAAATGTAATTTTTTCTAGTAACAGGATGGTTTGTTACCTTCTTGGCTCTTCTGAGAGTTTTCGCTGTTTCTATTCGTTTGAGTGAGAAACGCAAAATGTATATTCTCGAGATATTCTATGCTTTTTTAATTGTACAGTTCCTTATAATATCCGTGTTTGCTCCACAAATGAAAACAGATAGGGAACAAGGTCGTAGAACGTGTGAAACGGTTGGTATCTTTCTTGACTTAGTTTAATTTGTTTTTGTTTTTTCAGAAGTACAATTTCACCCCTCCTCCGGAAATATATTTCAACAATGCCTTGTTTCTGACATTTCGACCAGGAGAAGATATGACTTCTTTTCTTCTTGCATGCGATACTATCGTTATTTGCCTTACATTAGGAACAACTGTAGTTGTCAGTGGAGGACTTCTGATTAAAAGCCTAAAAACTAGGGTTAATCATAAGAGCTTATCGAGAATAGCTATTCATCAACGTAAACTCACCTTGGGCACTATATACTTTGTAAGTACTCAGCAAAATTTCTCAAAAAAAATAATTGTTCCAGACTACAGTTGAGTTACTTGGACTGTGTATACCATCGTTTGCTATCATCATGTCAATCCTTTTCGAAATCAATAGTTCCAGTATGTTCCATCCTTTTTGACCAATTAAGCTCGTTTTAAATTCTGAAAAACTAAAATCATTTTGCACCGATCATACTAATGAATATTTCAGAACTAGTGCCGCTCTCATTCATCAGCATGAGCACATTTCCAATGATCGGTTGTTTACTTATTCTTAGGCTGAACCCGGTTTATAATAACAAAATTAATAGGGTATTGTATAAGATGAAATTATGTTTAATTTCTCAATTCGTTTTCTGTGTTTCAATTGTTCCGGAATCAGTGTTCAAACGAATAGAAAGGAAAGTAGCTGTTGAGAATTCTGGAATAGTTCAACTAACGATTATTAACCCATAAACGTTTTCAAGAACTGTATATAAAGGGGAATGAGTCAATGTTTCGCAGATTCTGAAGCTCAGAAATGAGATAAAACCAGAAGAAAACAATCTTCATTATCTCAACTGTTCACTTTGAGAAGTTTCTATGAGATGAAGACTGCAGGAGAGTTTCGTTCACACAATTATAAGGTTATTTTTGGTAAATAATTTGCACGTTCCACTTTTGAGCATAGTACAAACAAGAAGCGGAGAAAACAATAACTAATTTCATCTACCTTCAACGAAGGTTTGAAATATAATATTTTTTTACAACAAAATTGGCCAGCTTGACTCATCTGAAATGTTACTGTTGTCAATAGAGGGTATTGATTCTGAGTATCTAACTTGATCGAATGCATACTCAAGAGAATGAGCTGCCAACCGAAAGGAAACGTCTCGGAGATTGTGAGCAGAGGTGTCAAGAAGCTCCGTCTTCCTATATACTGCACAAATGCTTGTTTTTCTCAATGGATGGGTCTATCGTCTATCGTCTATCTCGTATAGAGGTTAAACAAAATAATTGTTCCAGACTACAGTTGAGTTACTTGGACTGTGTATACCATCGTTTGCTATCATCATGTCAATCCTTTTCAAAATCAATAGTTCCAGTATGTTCCATCCTTTTTGACCAATTAAGCTCGTTTTTAATTCTGAAAAACTAAAATAATCTCCTTTTTTCGTCATTTGTTTTTTTTAGAATTTCTGTTGCTTGGAAACTTTGTTTCAATGAAAAGAGTAGAGCTATTTTAGAAGGCATTCACTGGTTTCATGTTGTCGAGGAAGAAAAAGATGGCAAGTTGAAAACGTTTTTATAATAGTAATACTCACATAAATGAACGTTGTCTTAGAGAATATGTTCGTTTTTGTTTGTTTCTGGGAGGGATTGAGAAAACGGAGAAAGGTTAATTTTAGAAATAGATCTCGTTTGAGGTTGGTTCACTCTTCGCAGATTCTGCAAAACTCTACAACTTGTAGAACTTTCAAAGCTGAGTGGCATAACCGATTGTAGACAGTGAACCCTGTCATGGTTTTCCTTTCCGATAATCATACAGGGTAGTTTTCCAAACTGGACATGAACATCAGCTATCACTTGCCATTACCTCCAAGTTTTCATGACCTCCTATACTCATTCGCCTTTTATAGTTGATATAGTTTGTACTATAGGTTTAGTGTTAAGGTCTATTCTTACAAAAATTATTCTTATTGATTATTTCTAAGATTTAAAAAAAAAAGATTTTAAGCAAATTGATAAATACCCGGCCCTTCTTCGAACAAATCCCACCTGTGTCTTCGTGTTTGTTAACTTCTTCTATTTTTGTATTTATGAAGGATTGTGCTTTATATGGGTATTCCTTGTTTGATGAGTTGTTTGGTTGTGCTTTCCGTTGGCATTCTTTGAGCTTAAATCTTGATATCAACCAAATTTAGTTCGATTGGCCACGTTTTCGATTGGGGAACGGGGTAATGGGGGAAACGTTCTGTTCAGCTCGATCTTCTAGATGAATGGCGTTTGTAAAAATGTTTTTCGATTAGCTTTGGGTGAGAGCACTCAGTTTTCCCTTTTAGGTAAGTCGGGGAAAGTATGGCGAGATTAATCTGTTTATTTGACTCTTTAATGACTCTTTAAAACTCGTTAATGATTTGTTAGCTTTGGTTATGTTGGACTGAACCCGATGATGCTTTCGGTCATTTTCCTTCCCAACCTCGTCTTCGTTTTAGAAATTCTTGACTGACTATCATTTACTGTTTTGTTTTTGTAGAATAAATAATATATTGTTATCACAGTCTCCTTTGGCGTCTATGAGTTGTGAAGATCATTCATTTGATGGATCACAGTGCTTCTCCCTGTTGAGTGATTCGGACGAGGTTGCATCAGATTGTTTCTTCTTGTAGTTTCTTGAGAATTTAACTGATTGCCTTTTACATTCTTGTGTCTCGGCTCGGAAATTATTTGGAACGAGAGTTTAGGAAGTCCACATTGGCCCCTCGTTCACAGTAATCTTATCATACAACACTTCGGTTGTATCGTTTTGTCTTTGTAATTCTTTTGAAGCTCTTTCTCCACTCATTCGAATCGCCTCCAATTTTCTTTCCCAATATCATTTTTCACTTATCGGGCACAGTGTGCGGTGTTATAAGCTCTTTCATTTTTCACTTACGGGACGCCTTGACCGTTTGCTTGCAATCGCCTGCTCCTTTTTTCTGCCTCATTCCTTGGATATTTAACACTTCCGAATAACTTCGTTGCGTTCAAACCATTTTAATTATAAAAAAAATTTTAAATGATTGAGAATTGTGGTCTTTCAGACGGACGAAATGCAAGTCGTATAATGTACAAAACGAAAGTCGTACAATATAAGTGGCGGAAGTCGTGCAATGTACGGAGCGGAAGTCTATATCTACGTGAAGTTTCAAGTGCTTAATAGGCCCGACGGGTCGCCTCCCAGGCGGGAGGCGAATCTATGACAGTCAGCTTCGCATTTTTTTAAAAAAATTTTTGAGTTTTTTCTTCGGAAATCGTGTCGGGACCAATAAAATTCTGAAAAAAAATCAAAAAGTTTCGCAGTTTTTATTTAATTTTTAACTTTATTTTAATAATTTATTCTTCGTTTTTGTCTTTTTTTTTCATGCAAATGTAAGGTTCAAGGTTCTCATTCCGCGTCTCTTCTCAATTATTTTGTTTTTGATTGTAAAAAATCTTCTCGAACATGAGATTTTCGATTGAATAGTTTGTAACATAGTTGATTGCATGTGAGAAG